ATTCACAACGCACATACAAATAAAAACAGGCCTCAGATTTTAAATGTAACATTAATTAAAAATCCGAGATATCTAGGTTCCAATTATGAGTGAGTGAATTAATTGAGTTTAGTTATTTAGCTTAGAAAGAATTTCTTTTATTTTTGTTATTATAGGCAGTAATCAGATAAAGCTGCTTTTTTATCTTATTCACCCGATATCTTACTCTTGCTCAAAGATTATTTTGAAAATGTTGATTAAATAAAATTGTATTATTGTATTTCCAGTCCTTTTGTTTTTATTATTCCATCTATTTTTTATTCTATTTTATGATTTTGTTTCAGAGTTGTGATTTTTAAGGAAATTAAATAATAATTTTCTAAAATATAACATGCACATACTTTTTTTGATCATTGTATTGTTGATTATCATTCACGTCACATCGCTTCGGAATAGAAACCAGCTTAATTTACACTATGTTGTGTATTGTGCTTAAATTATGGATTGTATTCATCATTTCGGTCCATATAAATAATTGTATGGCACCTACCTACCTACCTATATATCGCAGTACCGCGAACTGACAACCCTTACAAATATCCCAATTTAACCCTTACCCGTGTCAATTTACCCCGAATGCGGGGTAAATTGGGATGGCCATTATTTTTCCGATTATTTCTTTAAATTGAATAATTAAAATAATGTAATGCTTTTTATCACCTAGGTACGTTCAAGACTCAACTTATTTCTTTGGTTGAGCAGTGACTATTTAATTGGAACTATGTTAAAATTCAATCTGAAGTTCGATTTTGTCCCTATTTACCCCATTTTACGGTATGTATGTACACTGGCTTTTTTAAATATGTATCTATCCAGCAGAATAAATTACAGCATGCCTAAGCTTTTTAGTATATTAATATCGTGGTAAGAATTGAACTAAAAATATGTTAATTCTATATGTTTTCACAATTCTTAATTCTATAAATTAAAGAAGATTTATCTCGTTTCACGAATCCTACATAATATATAGATTTGATTATTGATTTTATATTTCGCTACAAACCACAGACAACATTTTATTTAAATCTCTAGCCAGTACATAGCCTGCATCGCATCAGTCTAAAAATAAAAACTAAGCAGTGTTGTCTATAGTTTTAGTTTGAGTGATTCGCAATTGTAGATGTCATTTCATGTCATAGTAATTTAGAACTCAATTTCTTGTTGCGATGGCAGAAAACAGAGAAGAAATCTTAGCAAACTTCCAGGTACACAATTTTATAATATACATCTGTCATACAGATCAATAAAGTCCTTCAACCATGCCTCTAACAACGTTTGAAACGTGAATAACATTAGCGATCGAAATTTTCCATTTATCTCTTTGTGTTTCATTTATTAAGGTGTTTCTATAAATTCGCTGCCTATTTACCAACAATTTATAGTCTATTCCAAATCTGTATGCCTAGAAACATTTGCGTGCCAGAGTATTTCTTGTATAAAAATTAAATATACCTTTGTCATTTCCGTGTAATTTATTATTCTTAGTTACAAAGCAATCGTCAACACGTTGTGTTTTATAAATCATCAGCAACCAACACCTTATTAGGCGGTTGTTTGTTGTACACAAAACAAATCCTTTGTTTATGATGTGAGGAAATTTCAAGATGCTTTCTTCATCAGGGTATAACAGCCATTGAAGACGTTGCTGAAGCTATCTATCACCTTGACGAGTCCAACTGGGATTTACTGGTATGTATTAAACGTAAAAAATAACCAATTATATGACATACATTAAATTTATTATTGATATAGTTATGCAGAGTCATTCTACATTAGTTTAAATTTAAAACTATTTGAAAATTTTGTAGAAAGTGATTGTTCTTTCAATGGCTTCTTTAAAAAGTGATTTACATTTGAAAAACTCAAATCATATATATAAATTTAATATTGAAATTCAGCACCTTTACTACAGAAATAATACTCTTATTGTATTTGTAAATCAATAAATAAGAAAATGTAAATTGTCTTTAAATATAATAAGAAGAATTATCATAGTAGATTAAATAGCTTCAGGACATTTTAACCTTTAAAATTGGCAGTCAAGTTCAGTGCTTATCAGAGTTTAGCATATATTGTTACCTAAACTAAGATTTACTGGCACATATAAGTTCATAGAAATAATAAAACATGATATACAATGTATAAAGAACATAGGCAAATTATTTACTGAATTGTGGTTTGTGGATTTTCCAAAATATTTTAAACTAAATGTTGTAGGTACATTTGCTCACCACAAAATATTTTATCCTAAATCTATCGTAAAACAACTATAAGTATTATATTGTTGCTGATAATTATTTATTTCTTTAAAAAAAGAACCACTAAATTTGATTTATGACTTATGTCACTAAATCAAGTTTCATTCATGGACCTGAAATTATAATAATTGTAGTGTTCAGAAAGCTTGATTATTAGTTAGCATCGAATTTTCAACTAGACTCTATCCACCTTTATCTCCTATTTAACAAATTGTGCCAGGAATATTTAACTAGAGAAACATAAAAAGAAACCTACCTTTACATAAAGTTATGTTTTAATGAGCAATTAACTTGATTGCCACTCAGATTGCAATATCTTTGTGTATTGTCAACCAATTGAATGAAATCATAATTTTACAAAAGCTTAAAAGCTTTGTTTATTCATGCTAGTTCAGAACTTGCATGTCTGATAATAGTCTAACAGCGAATTAACCAGAAGATAATGACGTCCTCGGGTGACAGCTTGTATTCTCTTCATTCAATATCAACGGACAGGAGTCAAAACATAAATAGATAGTTCTTAATAACGAACATAAAGACTCATTAATAATGATAATTATGTGTTAAGATTATTAAACTGCATTATAGAGATTGTCTATGCGCACAATACTAACAACAAAACAACATGCTATCGAGCAGCACTACTGCCACCGCACTCACTTTTCTCGCAACAACCTTACACATAACACCCGTGTACGTGTGCATCGTCACAATCGTAATTTTAAAATATAATTTGGTAGGACACAATAAAACATTCATTTCTTTCATACACCACTGCTTGCCTCCTCTTCCTCACCAACAGAGATATTAGTGCTATCATATAATGTGAATTGTATTCACACAATATAAATTAATTTGGATGTAGTCATAAATGTATAGCAGAAATTATTAAATACAAAATAAAATATAGATTGTCTGAAATGTGATTTAATAAGACAAGCCCACAGAGCTTGGCTAATTTGCTTCGTGAACCACTGTTAGAGTTCACATATACGTGACCACATTACAATAAATGGATTTAAAATTCAATAGTAATCAATACCAGAAACCAGAATGCTTTTAGTATGCAGAATAATTCAATAAAATACAACAAGAAAGTAACAAAGACAAAAAAACTTCATGATTACATATAAAAAAAAACAGTATTTCCTGGTTCCCTGGTCATGTTGTTTCAATAAATATGTTAGCTCAATAACATTGAGTCATCAATAAACGCTGTGTTCAATCACTCTTCATATATAATCATTATCTTAGTTGTGAATGCAGTATTGTTAATGCATAAATTATTTGTTTTCTATTGATGACTATATTAAGCGACAGCTTCCCATTTCTAATGCAAATGAAATTACTCATATCTCACAGTTCATGGTGGTTTTAAGATAGTCTCCATAAGTTTTAGCAAGTGCTTGTCTGCCTTGATACTTAAAAAAAAAAAACAAGCAACCTCTTCGATATTTTTTTTATTGCCTTTGTAGGCAGACGTGCGTACGGCCCACCTGATAGTAAGTGGTTACCGTCGCCCATGGACTTCAGCAATGCCAGGAGCAAATCCAAGCCACTGCCTACAACGATATTAAGATATTGAATTGAATGATGAATTCAATTCAAATTCAAACTAATTACCAATTGGTAATTAGCTTGCAAGCAGGCTTTTGGTGCAGTTCCGTCATTGCTAGTAGACTGCTAATCGTGAACACAGTTTCCGATACGTAAATGAACCTCAAAATTTTATTTACAAAATCAGATCAAATATATTATTTATTATTACTTGTGAGTCCAGTAATGATTTATATAATTTATTTTATTTGATGTGTACTTCTTATCTATGTATTTTGTATGTATGTATCTATGTATTTATTTTTGCCAATGTAATTATAACCTAGTGTTCATTTTTACTAATGTCTACTATAATTCTTTAAATTATCGCCGTCTATTAACTTTATCACAGCTACGCATTCTTTCTATCATTCACAACTTTTATTCCTTCATTAGTGACTAGTCAGTTTTCTCGTCTCATATGTATGTGTCATATAAAAAACCTCGTCTCGTTTCTCGTTCTCATCTCGTTTTTACCATCGCACCGCCCACCACCAGAGTAGAGTTCCTCCATACTACCTAGAGCCACTGAGTTCATCCACAGTGCGTTTCCAGAGATCTTTTTGCCACGTACCATCCGGTTTTGGAATTAGCTCTCCTCCACTGTGTTTCCTGAGCGCTATGACATATCCTTCTTCAAACGAGGCTTGTGGAGAGTACTTAACGATAGTCAGCCGCTTGGCTCTGCCCCTGACATTGCTGTAGTCCATGGGCGACGGTAACCACTCACCAGCAGGTGGGCCGTGTGCTCGTCAAGGGCAATAAAAAAATTCAATTAAACTAATGGAAAACAGATTACGAATTCTTGAAGAGTTCTATTTTCCATTCGCTGTAACGTTATATTGTGTATCAAGGCGTTGAATCATGCATCGAATATAAGACTACTTTTACAGTTAATCTTCCGTTGGTTCTTCTGACCTTTCGGATACTCACAGTTTTCGTTTCTTATTATATTATACAGGCTTGATATACAGACAATATGGTTTGAATGCGATAATTGAGATCATAAGATGTCCGAAAATGGACATTGCTATTCACCTGGTCCTGGCTATGGACTCCATGACTACTAGGATAATATCACTGGTAGTAGGACCTCTTGGGAGTCCGCACGGGTAGGTACCACCACCCCACCTATTTCCGCCGTGAAGCAGTAATGCGTTTCGGTTTGAAGGGTGAGGTAGCCGTTGTAACTATACTGAGACCTTAGAACTTATATCTCAAGGTGGGTGGCGCATTTACGTGGTAGGTGTCTATGGGTTCCAGTAACCACTTAACACCAGGTGGGCTGTGAGCTCGTCCACCCCTCTAAGCAATAAAAAAAAAAAAAAAAACTAGCGGACCCGACAGATGTTGACCTGCAAAAAATCATTCAAGTCGATTGAGCCGTTTAGGAGTTTAGTGACATACACACGTACAGTGGAACTATATATATAAAGATTACTGATTAAGAGAAGTGTGGTTATCGGAACACCCAGCCTCCTAGTACGAGATGGGTGACGCGCCAAGTCAATATGTAACGTAAAAAAAGATCCCGAAATATCTTGAGAACCTTAGTTCACAGTAACCAAAAAACCGGTATTCCCAATATCCATAAGATATTAACCCATCCGCATACTTGTATTTGGATAAACAATGCTTTGTTGCCGACTTCAAATAAATGAGGTGGTTATCAATTTGACTATTTTATATATATATATTATTTTTTTTATTGCTCAGGTGGGTGGACGAGCTCACAGCCCACCTGGTCTTAAGTGGTTACTGGAGCCCATGGACATCTACAACGTAAATGCGCCACCCACCTTGAGATATAAGTTCTAAGATCTCAGTATAGTTACAACGGCTGCTCCACCCTTCAAACCGAAACGCATTACTGCTTCACGGCAGAAATAGGCAGGGCGGTGGTACCTACCCGCGCGGACTCACAAGAGGTCCTACCACCAGTAATATGTGTGTACCTCAGACTTTTTTGTTTATTTAAAAAAGCTGATATTTCAAAATCTGACCGGTGGTAGCTCTCAGAGTTATCCGTAAGAATGCATAATGAATTAACTTCGACCATTATTGATGCTGTTCTAATTTCAATTCGTTGGAATGTTTTTTTTTTACTTCTTCAATGACTTCTTTGCTTATACGATTTTTATCAAACGTTTTGTTATTTTCTGTATTCAGACAGCTATAAACCGAGTGATGCCGCAGGATGGAAACGCCGCCGCCGCGGACGCACAAGATGACACTCACAACGTTGAAATGATAGACGACGATATATCTGTGATAACGCCAAAAACACACCCACCAGGTAAGTCACCCCGTGACGCTAGACCTATACTTCAGTGCGCTAGATAGACATGACGTGTATTTGAACACATGAACATTAAGGCTAAGGGCACACTACGATTAAAATTCGGTGCGAAAAACCATCGCAATAGAAAAACATTATAATTTATCTACATAATTATACAATCTATTTTGTACCGTATGAAGTGATATCAAATACCGCGCATTGCGAAAAAATAAAAAATCTTCAAAGTTCTATTACGTAGATTTTTACTGGTGCTAGGACCTCTTGTGAGTCCGCGCGGGTGATACCACCGACCTGCCTGTTTCTGCCGTGAAGCAGTACTGCGTTTCGGTTTAAAGGGTGGGGCTGCCATTGTAACTATACTGAGATCTTAGAACTTATATCTCAAGGTGGGTGGCGCATTTGCGTTGAAAATGTCTATGGGCTCCAGTAACCACTTAACACCAGGTGGGCTGTGAGCTCATCCAACCATCTAAGCAATAAAAAAAAGAATCAAGTAATGTAACTAACTTTCTTTTGTAAATCCATGTTTCCATGTAACACTCCCCTCTTTCGTGGTGTCTCAGTATTTACTGCAATAACTGCCACCGCTATTCCGCAAGCGACAATAAATCGTAGTGCGAGTGTAGGAACTATTGTCATTTGCGATTTTATTCCGCACTTTAATGCGCGCTTAGCCTAAGCCTTCCGACAAGTCTTGTGTGCGTATTCCTCCCGGACTTCCCCAGATTGGCCGTTAGTAATAAAAAAAAATTCAACACAGATAGACCTAATGGTTGTCTCGATTTCTTGGGAAACAGAAATACATACTCAAAATTGTAGAGTCGAGAAAATATTTTACATTCAAGTATTTATGTATATATGGTATAATAATAATAAGCGCGTTCTATGAATTTGTCTTGTGGTTTGATGACGGTATTTATAAAATTTCAATGTGTAAATTTCACTAAAGTTTGTATACAATAAACTTGACGGATCCAATGTTAAATAAAAATTTAACAGTTAAATATAAAGTGTTGAGTGACTTTTTTTTATTGCATATATGGGTTACTTACAAAATAATGGGTGACTTACAAAACTGCTAAAACAGAAACTGAAACTGAGTGTAACAAAAGTGCTTAGAAAAGCGAACATCTATTTCAAAGCTGGTCACATCGAATTTGCGTTTTTTTTTTTGTGACTCACACTTCGTCTTTTGTATTAACCCCTTTTTGTGATCTGGTCATCTGGGGCCTACACCGCCTTCGCTTTAGGGCAGAGGTCGGCAACCTTGTCAATCAAAAGAGCGAAACCACAGATAACAGACAAATGAAATTTCTTCAAAGTTTACAGGTGGTAGGACCTCTTGTGAGTCCACACGGGTAGGTAACACCGCCTATTTCTGTCGTGAAGCAGTATTACGTTTCGGCTTGAAGGGTGGGGCAGCCGTTGTAACTATACTGATACCTTAGAACTTATATCTCAAAGTGGGTGGCGCACTTACGTCGTAGATGTCTATGGGCTGCAGTAACCATTTAACACCAGTTGGGCTATGAGCTCGTCCACCCATCTAAGCAATAAAAAATAAAAATAAAGAAGAACCATTTTTTATGCATCTATATATCGACGCTTAAAAGACAAACGTGACTAAGCGACAATAACTGCTTTGTACATAAATGATAGGCAATAACCATATTCGATGCGCAAAACAAATATATTTCTAGGTCTATTAAAATCGTTTCAATCCTACAGCTACTAGCTAGATTCTACTACGGCTAGATTCGTTAAAATAAATTTTGTTTTCAGGTATTTCAACTTTAAATTAGTCTACTGTAAAGTTCACGCATTGTCGCTTAGTCACGTTTGCCTTTCAAGCGTCGATATGTACTTTTGTTTCAAAAATGTTTCCTATAACAAGTAGTATTCCGTGTCTCAACTAAACATTTCACGGACGAGCCGTAACCGAGGAATCGTAAAAGCCGCGGTTGCCAACCACTGCTCCAGGGTGATCGTCAAATGTTTTTTATTTTCCCGTATAAAGTAGGCTACGGAATCCATTGACATCATTACGAGTATGCCGCTGAGTTTTTTTTTTTTGTGTTAAAAATATTTTATCCGCCGATTAATTCGCTCGATTTAAAAACACAGAAAATAATATAAAGTTAATCCCTTTAAGGCTACCAGCTAATCGGTAAGGGATAAAAAGGATAAAGTTATAGTATGGGATAAAATTATAATTTTCTTCGGTTGTCGAGAGTTTTCCACAGAATTAATAATACTTTTACGGTTTAATCGCGCGATGAGCCACGTTTCTAATGCTTAACGTCCGTCTGGTGTAGTGGTAAGTGACATGGTCACTACACTAGGGGGTCGCGGGTTCGAATCCCGCCAAGGGAAGATATTTGTATGATAAATATAAATGTATTTTCCAGGGTTATGGATGTATATTAAATATATGTATGTGTATAATAAAAATCTTACATTGTGGTACCTGTAACACAAGTTCTTTACGAACTTATCACGGGACCAGTTAACGTGGCGTAATTGTTAGTAAATATTTATATAGTTACAGTTTGCGTGCTCTCTAACATGTTATACGTCATTATAATCAGACGTCCACGTGACCACGAAAACTGTAAAACATTCGCAAAGTCGAAACTAAAATAATGACAATTTAAAATATATATTAAAAACAAAACGCTAATAATCATCGTTTTTAATCTACAGATAGAGAAGATAATAATCAAGCTTCAACATCATCGATTAATAGGAACAGTACGAACGGTTTTGTTGAGCTACAAATAAACTGGAATAACAAAATGTATGGAATTAAAATTAATGGCACAGCCACTGTTAGTGAGTATATTTGAATGATGCATTTGTGTTATTAAAGATCTATTTTGGGTAGCGGTGTACCTAGGGCTGGCCCTTCCCTAGCTCGCGGCTGTCCTGGTGTGAACTGATCACCGGGTCCCGGGCTGCTACTCTACCTTGAGACATGAGGTCATAGTCTCACGCATTTGTCCGGGTTAGCAATACTATCGATCACAGTACACCGGTAATCGTCACAGGATGCTCCTACCAATTCTCTGACTAATCCTTTAGTCTTTGCCCGACAACCACGGCAAGTGAAATGGTGGTGCTCCACTGGGCACCGCGCAATTAAAGGCGGTGTTCATTCGACATTAACCGCTCTACACAAGCTCATATCTCATGTCATATAAAATTTAAATTATCTTATACTGCATCATAAATGTTATCGAAAATTATTGTTACTTCGTAACGAAATTCTAAAATATAAAATTAATACAAAAAAAAATATTACACACAAACAAACAACTAGTTGTTACAATGAATGAAAACCGCGCGCTTTAACTAGTGATAGCTTCAGAATGACCATATAAGGTAATCGTTGGTACCGGAAATCAAATTCTTTCTGGAACATTCGATAACGAACGCCCACAACGTGCCTAGAAATTTCTAGAACAAGATACAATAACGAACAACGATTAAAACAAAATTAAATAAACTAAGCGGCATTGCGAGTATGTCTAGTCTTTAGCGAAATTGTTACAGTCATGACAGTAACAACTAGTTATTTTGTTTGTTTCTGTATTAATTTTATCTATACTAATATATAAATCTACAGTGGTTTTTACGGATGTTCCGTGATAACTACTGAACCATGCATCCGATTGACTTGAAACTTGGTGTCCATGTAGAAAATACATGTACTTAATGGATACGCTAATATTTATATGAGTGTTAGACTCCTTACACCAGTTGCGGTGGCGTTAATGATGAGAATCTTTGTGGGGGTGAGAAATAATAATGTTAATTTTAAATGCCCAGCAAAGCAGACGGGTACAGCTAGTATTTTATAATTTTTTTACGACGTAACATTATATATGTTTTTATTTATTTATCAAATCAGGTGATTTAAAGAAACATCTAGAATTAATAAGCGGGGTGCCGTCGTGCAGACAACTGATATCGGGTTTGGGGGGATCGAAGGCGGTCCCCTCGGCCACCCTTGGCAGTCTCGGTCTCGTGAAGAACGCCGTCGTCAGACTGAAGTCTGCCGATCAGCAAATGGTTGCCGACGATGAGTGAGTTCCGTTTTGAGTATCATATCTCGGGTAGTATATAAACGTCGTTGTCAAACCAAAATCTGCTATGTGCACTTTTTGATTTTTTCGTATAGTTCACAGCCCTATCTATCGTATAAAAAAAAAGATGTGTCGTTGGACACCGGATAGGAACGAAGTTCCTTATTATAAAAATATAAAATTAAGTTCTATTCGAGGTATAAAGAAAATAAAACTGGAGGTTTCGTAACAACCCACGGTCATTCGGTAACGTGCGAACTTATTGTGGTACACTTCATTCACGATTGTAATTGTGTATTGCGCAAACGCACGCTCCGAGATCATGGTCACTGAATGATAAAAAAATATGTTATCTTTTGTACGTTATTACAAAGTTAAGTCGTACACTGTGTGCATTACTAATAAAAATCTTACGCTACGGACGTTTTTTCCCGGTTAGGGTACCCCTCCGCATCGTCCTATAAGGAACTTCGTTCCAAAACTGTTATGTGTCTATCTATTTTTTTATATGCTTTTATATTTAACTATAGCTTTCATTTGATATAGTTCTTAAAGATTCACCTTCCTATAAAATTTTATACGAAAATGTTTCTACTCGTTAATTCAAAATAAAGTTTTTGCACATAGCAGATATTGGTTTGAAAGCGACAATATGTAGGACAGCCACCTAATGAAAATCGCTGGGTCACGTTAGATGCAAGTAGCAAAAGACCGGTCGCACTAAGCACACTGGTCGTCAATTGGAGGGGCTATGTACAGCAGTGGACAGTGGATTGACTAAAATGAAGATGATATGTGACGAATGACTTTATTCGTTGGTAGTCCTTAATTCATCGATATGGAAAATCGATAGCACATCACTACAACTCGAATTTTAATTCTTTTATTTTACTTTATTTTTTATTATTGCATAGATGGGTGGACGAGCTCACAGCCCACCGTGTGTTAAGACCATAGACATCTACAACGTAAATGCCGCCATCCACCTTGAGACATGAGTTCTAAGGTCTCAGTATAGTTACAACGGCTGCCCTACCCTTCAAACCGAAACGCACTACTGCTTCACGGCAGGAATAGGCAGGGTGGTGGTACCTAATCGTGCGGACCCACAAGAAGTCCAATAATAAAATTAAATTAGTTTATGATACGAAATATCTTCGTTTCTAGTGTGGCGGAGAGATTGACGACAACGTACACGCTTCACATCAAACACAATGACAGGGACTACACCCTAAAGTACCCCGGAACAAAATCTGTGAGGGAAGTGAAGAACGATATCTACTCACTTACGGACATACCGGCCAGGCATCAGGTAATTAGTCAGGTCAACTAGTTATTGAAGAAAGAAAACTCATAAGTATTAATATCAATGCGGTTGAGTCTTTGGCTATTATAAGTGATAACAGCCACATAAAACCGCTTGCCATTTCGATAAAGCGGCACGAATGGTAAATAGTCGACGTCGCCCAAAACAATAACGGATCCTCCCGATGCACTAACGGTGCTTTTAGGTACCTCAAGTACTGGTCATCGTTGTAAATCAACCCACAGCCCACTGAGTTTCTCACCGGATTTTCTCAGTGAGTCGCGATTCCGATCCGGTGGTAAATTCTGTGAAGCATGGGTTTTGCTAGGGTTCGTGTTAGCAACAACGTCAGGTTTGAGCCCCGTGAGCTCACCTACACGTTAGGGCGAAGCTGAAATAGCCTCTCAAAGCCATATATTATAGGATTATATTTATTCGTTCTTGGTAGGTACTTAGGGGCTGATATTTTTATCTGGGTTAAGAGATTAGGTGTGTCGGTTATTCCATGGATTAATTCGTATAGAAATATACCCCCCATTAGTTTCCTCCGGTTAAGAAGAGAGTCTAAATTTAAGTGGCAAAGTCTATCTTCATAGCTGGATAACTTCCTACCCAGATTCTTCAAGTCTATGTTATAGGGTTGAAGTTATAGGCTTATAATGTTATAGGTTTATATAAAAAGGCTTAGGCTATATAATGTGTATAGGTTTAGGCTTATAAAGTCATAGTTATAGGTCTATATATGAAGCTATAGGCTTGAAGGCTGGTTAGATCATGTTTCCAATCCGTGTGTGACAGTCGTGGACAGGGTGGCCGTCAGTGTCGGGGCTGGACGACACGGTGCTGGCAATGGTCGGCCTGGACCTGCCGCAACACGAGCTCACAGTCAAAAGGGCGCCCGCCAAACCACTCAAGGAATACAAGAGGGTAAGTGCGCACTCATATACAACTTGGTGACACAATCTCCTCATTCGTTTGTATTTAAGTTGCACATAAAAACTCGAACGTATTTATTGTACTGTATATACTAATTAGGGTAGGTACCACCACCCTGCCGTGAAGCAGTAATGCGTTTCGGTTTGAAGGGTGGGGCAGTCGTTGTAACTATACTGAAACCTTAGAGCTTATATCTCAAGGTGGGTGGTGGCAGTTACGTTGTAGATTCCGTTGTAGATATCTATGGGCTCCGGTAACCACTTAACACCAGGTGAGCCGTGAGCTCGTCTACCCATCTAAGCTATTAAAAAATGTGATTAGGCTGTAGGAACAGTAGTAATCAAACTGCTTCAACTAACTAGATTGTCTAGGCACTAACACAAGGATAAGTAACACAGAGAGAATAAATATTGTTATGTCATTTACTTAAAACATATTGCTTAAAAGATAGTGTTTAGGTACAATATAGGTAGATTAGCACTTAAGTAACTCAATATAAAGGTAAGGGTACAATAGCGCACAGCACGGCAAACGTATCGGATGTGTACTTATCCTTTGTGAGCCCGCACGGGTAGGTATTTCGGGCACAATGCAGTCTAGTTTGAAAGGCGGCGTCATAGTATTTTAGCGGTAGGCAGCGGCTTGGCTCTGCCCCTGGCATTGCTGAAGTCCATGAGCGTCGGTAACCACTCACCATCAGGTGGGCCGTATGCTCTTCTGCCTACAAGAGCAATAAAAAAAATTCCATTTGAAACTTCGACCACATATCTCAAGATGGGTGGCAGCGTACCATTATGTGGGCTACCGTAGCCACTTAATTCTTAGGTAGGCCGTGAGCTAGTTTAAATAAAATCATTAACACAATAATTTAGTAAAATTTTCGAATAGTATGAACTTAAAAAGACGTTTAGGTTTATTTATGTATTCAGCAATGCTCGAATTATTTTATTCTTGCTTTAGATTGCTTTGAGGACTGAAGATAATACAGTGAGTAAATAAATAAAAAATATAATTAATTTAAAATAATTTAAAATCGAGTTATAGCTACAATAATAATAAATTGTAAATATCAATAGTTGTGAACTAATCCCAAAAAATTTTAAAATTTTGAACCGTTGCTTATGGCAACACCATTTATATATCCGTATCATTTTTGTTCATGAACATTACGAGCATATTTAGAAAATATTTGTTAATTAAATACTGCAACTTCAAAAGGAGAGATAGAACAGCTATATTTTTTTCTCCTTGAAGTGTTGGCCTAACTTTCACAAACATAACACGGATATTATATGATAATAAAATAATGCAACTCAGGAACAGACAAGTCATGTTTTTTGTCCCTAGAAATATTCCCTAAAAAAAAGAAAGTAATATTTAAAAAAAAATCTAATATTAAAAAAAAAGGACATGCCCGCTGAGTTTTTTGTCATTTCTTCTCAGAACGGAGGCTAGTTTTTGTGAATTGACGGTAGTTCTTTGGACGTTCAACAAGTACGTACTTTCATTTATGTTGAGATTTTTTTTTTTTATTCGCTTTGATTTTATGTATTTCCCTGATTCTTTGTTGTATTGTATTCATTTAAATTAATCAAAATCATTGTTACAGATAATAGTCGAAAGTTCAGACAGCGAGAACAGTTCTGTTGAAGAAGTCGAGGACACCGGCTTCACGGGAGAAGACGACATGTTCGTCGACATAGCTAATTCGGAGAGGTTGCAGCCACTCAGTGAGTTTTCTTCTCTTGTATTATGCTTGGCATACTTCTCCATGTTCTGATTTGGTTGGGACTGTACGTGGGTTACCTCCCAGCGGAGTGGTGGACACCTCCACTAATGGACATCGGCTATGCCAGAGGGACAGCAAAAATATCATCTACCACTATGGATTATTTTCTAATTGGGTTGGTTAAAAGGGACAGCCAAAATATCATCTACCACTATGGATTATTTTCTAATTTGGTTGGTTATATTGTTCTAATTTGGTTGGGACTATATGTGGGTTACCTCCCAGCGGAGTGGTGGTCACCTCCACCAATGGACATCGGCTATGCCAGAGGGACAGCCAAAATATCATCTACCACTATGGATTATTTTTCCCTAGTCGTTGCTCAGGCAACATGGAATATTAAAATTAATTCTAGAGTAAATAATAATAATAATGATTTAAAACGGACTAGTTCCAGCTAATAAGTATTGAGTATGGATTCAAAGGAGGGTAGTGCTAAAAAATAAAATGGAGAGGGTATTAACTGTTTAATCGTTTATGAAGTTAACAAATATGCTAGTGAAACTATTACTACTGTGAAATGGATAATGAAACATATGTTGCATATCACTAGTTGCCTGTAACTGGCTTACATACCAGTACTTAATTTTATACATGTTAAATTTAAGCTTGAATGTTTTGTGTGTATTGCTGTTGGTGTGTCTAAATAAAAAAATAAACTATTTCTGAATCGTGTATCATTGAGAAGTGACACAGTTGGGCTTCTAGCTTGTCCGTTCCAATATTTAATCCTTTGAGCGCGAACCATCGATAGATCGATAAGTTAGTTTTCTTCATAAGATACTTTTTTTTAAAAATCCTTTGGTAGTCACTGCAAAATATATGAAAATAAATTCAGCACTAAAAGTGTTTAAATACTTTTACTGTTCGTGGCACCTCTTGTGAGTCCGCACGGGTGGGTACCACCGCCCCGGCTATTTCTGCCGTGAAGCAGTAATGCGTTTCGGTTTGAAGGGTGGGGCAGGCGTTGTAACTATACTCGAGACCTTAGAACTTATATCTCAAGGTAGGTAATTTGTAGATGTCTATGGGCCCCGGTAACCACTTAACACCAGGTGGGCTGTGAGCTCGTCCACCTATCTATGCGATAAAAAATAAAATATAAACGTCCCAATAAATCCTGTATTAACATTTCAGTGTCGGAAAACGTAGAAGACGAGGCGCTGGGCTGCATAGAGTTCGCGAGTCGGTTCCGCGCCCGCTACGGACCCAACATACCGAACTTCTTCGAGGGAACCCTCCAGGACGCCATCAAGGAGTCCTGTCTCAAACCTGCCAAAGAAGTGAGTCTTAAACCTCAAACGCGGCTTCATCAAACTTTTTCTTGTTTCAAATCACTACATAGTATAAAACAAAGTCGCTTTCTTTGTCCTTATATCCCTATGTATGCTTAAATCTTTAAAACTACGCAACGGATTTTGTTGCGGTTTTTTTTAATAGATAGAGTGATTGAAGAGGAAAGTTTATATGCATAATAACATCCATTAAATAGTGGAGAAATCAATAATAAATTACAGTTTCCGAAGCGAAGCGAGGGCAGGTTGCTAATTAAATTTCATCGGAACCTATTGATGTTGCAAAATGTACAACTGTTATTTCACGTAGGCATTCCTTAGTGGCACTCACGGCTGAGAACCGAATAACTTAATTGCATCAAATAAAAATTAAGGACATCAGAATAATATAGACGAGTCTAAATTTTGAAACAATCATTGATAATGTATCACATGTAGCGGTTTTGTTTCTTCTCAATTGCAACCCCTAAAGTATTCCGGATGGGTATATTATGTAAAGCACAAATTGTCATTTAAATAATATACATAAATTAACTTGATTAATTTCAAATTTAAAAGCAATTCTGTTAATACTATTCATACAAGATATACTATAAAAAAAATTGGCAACGGCTTGAGTACTTAGTACTGATAGTTGGTATTACTCGTGCATTAGATTAATTTATTTATTTTTATTTATTTATTTATTAAGTTGCACCAACAAAGTGATCATCAATACAAAACATTGAACAAGTGACTAAAGTTTATGGCAGATGTCACCTCAATTATAGGTGCAATCGACAGTGCATTAACATCAAAAATAAAAATAAAAATTCGCCTGTGAAGGCATATACAGATAATGAAACAAAATCTACATGGGGCAGTACTCAAGTTCATAAGTGTACGAGACATGGTAGGCCCTCTTGTGAGCCCGCACGGGTAGGAACCATCGCCCTGCCTATTTCTGCCGTGAAGCAGTAATGGGTTTCGGTTTAAAGGGTGGAGCAGCCGTTGTAACAATACTTGAGATCTTAGAACTTATATCTCAAGGTGGGTGGCGCATTTACGTTGTAGATGTCTATGGGCTCCAGTAACCACTTAACACCAGGTGGGCTGTGAGTTTGTCCACCCATTTAAGCAAAAAAAAAATACAAGATATACTACAAAAAAAATTGGCAACAGCTTAGTACTTAGTTCTGGGGCTTGGCATTTCTCGTACATTAGAGTAATTCGCCTGTGAATGCATATATAGATAATGAAACAAAATCCACTTGTGGCAGTACTCAACGTTAACTTCATAAAAGTACGAGATGTCAGGTTGTGATGTAAATATAATTTCAGAGAAAGCTCCTGGGCGTGTACCTGCACCACGAGCAGTCCGTGCTGTCCAACGTGTTCTGCGCGCAGCTGCTGGGCAGCGACGCCGTGCTGCAGACGCTGTCCGCTAACTTCGTCATATACGGATGGGATCTCACGCATCCCAATAATAATAATCTGTAAGCTATCCCTTAATACATTGCACACGTCATTACGGATCCTCCCGGTCCATTAACGGCGCTTTTAAGTACCGCAAGCACCGGTCACCGTACTCGTCGAACCCGTCGCTTGCGACGAAGGGCTCGACGACTGAATTAACCCATAGACAGCTCACTAAGTTTCTTGCTGGATTTGCTCAGTGGGTCGCGATTCCGATAAGGTGGTAGATTCTGCGAAGCACTAACCTTTGCTAGGGCCAGTGTTAGTAACGATGTCAGGTTTGAGCCCCGTGAGCTCACCTACACGTTAGGGTGAAGCTGAAATAGTCTCTCAAGGCTATCTATCAGCATGGGATTTAAAAAAAAAAACATTGCATACACAGGTCAATGAACTCGCTCAACTCACCTGATGATTCCCGGAGCTCTGAAACATTAGTTCTAAGTCCCATAAATACTATAGCACCACCGGTTTATTTGTGATACTTTTTTTTTCCTACCTAAGCTGATAGCCTTGAGAGGCTATTTTAGCGTAACCTTAACTAGTAGGTGAACTCACGGGGCTCAAACCTGACGACGTTGCTAACACTGGCCCTAGCAAGAGCCGTGCTTCGCAGAATCTACTACCGGATCGGAAACGCGACCCACTGAGAAGATCCGACGAGAAACTCAGTGGGCTGTATCTGTGGGTAATTTACTCGTCGAGCCCTTCGTCGCCATCGACGAGTTCGACGAGAACGATGACCGGTGCTTGAGGTACCTAAAAGCACCGTTAGTGAATCGGGAGGATCCGAAATGTGTGATACTACTGACCGGAGTAGTGTACTACAGTACAAGGTCATTGACCTCGAGCTGCTTTGAATCTGACCCTTCTGTATGACTTAATACGATATATTTGCAGGTTGTTAACCTCAGTAGCGACGGCTTTGGGGTCGGTCGCCAGTATGACGATACAGAGCATCCCCGTCGACAGACTACCAGCCTTGGTCATCATAATGAGAGTTCGTTCTAATACCGAAATATACTCTGTTATTAATGGTAAGGAATGCATATCTATCAACAGACATTTTAAAGTAAATACTGACTCTTTTTTGTAATCTCTGCCCGCTTGAAAACAGAACCTTGGACGCACCTCGCAACAGAAATAAGCAATATGTTAGTCATACCCCATACAGAAGTAAGACATACCCGACAAATGGATAATCATTCCTTACTAAATGAAAAACAATGTCTTTTTGGCAAAATTAAGAGTAAATAACTTGTACGATATATTATAATAAGGACGTATTTCGTGAATCCGTAAACAGGGCTTTACGAGAGGGTATCCCTGAGTCAGGGCCCCGTGCAGTATTGCTACTTCGTTTTGTTTAGTGACCGGCCAAGCTAAGTCCGCAGTGGGCGGTCGTTTGCGTGAGTGTACCAACCGGGAGGAGTGGCGATTGTACTTAAGGCACAGGCAAAGAAAAAGTACATAAAAAACATTAGAATCAAATACGTCTAAATACGTACTTTAAGACTGAGGCAGCACTGCTAGCAGCCTTTTATGTTTCCACAATCTAAATTTGAACCGGCCAATAAGGGCACTGCGTTTTTTTTTTGGTCAGGCTCTCTGTTAATATTCCTTTGCGTGCAGGCAATGTGGGCGTGTCAGAGCTGGTCGGTGGCTTAGTGGAAGCATTGGAGCGGTTCGCGATACAGCGGGACGAGGACGCGAGACTGGAGCGGGAACGGGACGCGAGGCAGCGCGTCAAACTCGAACAAGACGAGGCCTACATGAGGAGTCTTGAAGCTGACAGGTTTGTTAAACATTCGGATATAACAACGACAGACTATAACATATATTCCGGTCACCGTCCTCGTCGAACCCGCCGCTTGCGACGAAGGGCTCGACGAGCGAATTAACCCACAGACACAGCCCACTGAGTTTCTCGCCGAACCTTCTCAGTGGGTCACCTTCCGATCCGGTGGTAGATTCTGCGAAGCACTGCTCTTGCTAGGGTCAGTGATCACTCCGGTTTGAGCCCCGTGAGCTCACCTACTAGTTTAGGTTACGCTGAAATAGCCTCTCAAGGCTATCAGCTTAGGTAGGAAAAAAAAATAACACATATGACGGACCGAGTGGTGACGTCGGAGACTGATTGCGTCAGTGACTGACACCACATTGTTATTACAAACGAGACGTCATTCTGTTAGTTGTCATTACCTTCCATAGTGATAGTAAATAAGACTCACTTTCCCAATGTTTTCCATTTATTGAATTTCAAGCGTACTACAATAACAGGGAGCTCTGCCTCGCTCGGCTGCTCGCGACAGAATGTATTTTCATAGGTAATACACATAAATTAATTATAGATAAGCAACTCAAGCACTCAACAAAAGTGTTTACGGGTGTCGGCCACTAGATGGCCTCGATTCGATTAGTTTCTCATTGCTCCTGTAGATGGCAGTAACATATCCTATATTTTATTTATAATGAAGGATTTTGTAAATTTTCAGAAACCACAAATTGATAAAGGACAATGCCCATTTCTATGGGCGTTTGGGCCCCTAAAAAAAGTTGTCGGGTGATGATGATTTTAACTTAATTTGATAGACAAAGAAATATCGTTTCATATTCAGAAAACGATTTTTATATTCTCACCCAGGTCTAAGAGAAATCTGTTTTTTTCTGCAGCTAAAATTAAGTTGTTAATTGTTTTCTTCGAAATCAATAATCGCTCTCATCATTATTTACAGTATTAAATAAGTTAATTGTGGTTAATGTTGCTAGAAATAAGCCCTTACGTACATTTTATTAATATTATATCCTCATAATAATAATAAAATGAAATGAAATCCGGAAGCCGACAACGATATTGTTGTTGTTGTTTTTAAATTCGCCAACAAGCAGGCAAAGAGCGTAGCCTATACAGCCTAATCTGTCATAGTTATATTTTTTATATTTTTTTTATGTTAATAAAAATCCGGTGTATTTCTTTTTATTGCTTTTTGGGAGTTTTGACGTCAACTTGATGAATGGCACATTGAGTGAGCGTGAATTTCCGCAGACCTTTTATCTTGAAAAAAAAAACAGTCACTGTTATGTTAGCCACAGTTTTATTCCAATGCCTCAATAATCGTGAACAACGATTATTGACATTTAATACACAAAACAACACCCAATTTGTATATTATACATCACAATAAGCTATTAAAAAAACATAAAATAAAACTTCAAGTGACGCTTCACTCGGGTTGCTGCCAAAACTCTGATCATATATAATAAGAATAGAGTAATGGTAGGCCATTGAGATTTTTACTAATGGAATCATTAATATCTAAAAATATTAAATAATTCATTGTTTTAAGTAATAATTATTATTACAATACATAAATATTGAATTGAACAACAATAAACTAAAAAGTCTGTGAATTATAACCATTAGCAATTTTTTTTATTTGTTGTTCAAGTCACAGACAACTCTTTCGTTTGTCAGCATATAAGTTTACTATAAGGCTGTATGGGCTAATTTTCCCTTTGTCTATTGGCGAATTTAAAAACTATGGCACTCAGTTTTGGGATGTTATCAAATAAGTAATTTATATTTTTGTAAAACAATGCCAGGGTGAAAGAAATGTTGATACATAAACTAAACAACATGAAAAAATAAGACATAGTTTTTCAAGTACAAATAGTTTTGTCATGAAGTTGGCCCACTTTTGGGCATTGTCCTTTTAATCAATTTGTCTATAACAAATAAAGACTATAGTATGTTTTTTTTTTTGTGTTTAGTTATACAATCATTAAATGCCTTATATCTAACAACATATAATTTTAGAGGCATCCGCTACAAGATGTCACTAGTTTCCATACAAAAAAAAATTTTTTCTTAAAACATTGCAGTTTCAGGGTCCTGGTACGAGTAGCTGATTGACTTACCGTGTTTGCTAAAAAATATATGTTTATTTTTTTATAATTTACAGAGCGAAAGAAGAAATAAAAAAGCAACAAGAAATAGAAAAGAATCTGGAATTAGAGAGAGCCGAATCGGAAAGACAAATGGAAGAAGCCAAGAAGGAGGTACGGACAACATAAGTAGCTCATTTGAAAGAGAAGACTATTTCCACATACAAATTGTAATCTGAACCCAGTATCAAGTGGGCGTAACTGGAAACTAGAATATCCAACTGAAATGTTTTGAAACAAAATACATTCTCATATCACACAATTCCTATATATTAAAAGATGTTCACAAAAAAATCACTGAACAAACACACACTCAGACACACACTTAAGATTGCCCGCAAAGGTACTAGTTTTGAACGTTATCATTAACATATTAAATTATTATTAACTTTACACATCTTACATAATTATATTATTTCGCAAACATTCTTATTTACTGTACAAACCTATTTGTTGAGATGTCACATCATATTATGTATGTATTGTATTTAAGTTTTAGACTCGCCTATAGTCTACTTTATATAGAATATGTCTTGAGTATGTCCATATTGCCAGAGACAGAAACATGCGGGAGAAAGTGATACAGCATTTTTTTAAGTTATACTTCTTTAGGCGCATTATGAATAATTTATGACAGTGAATTTTACGATGCGCGCGCACCGTGACACAAAATTAACAGAATGAAGTTGCCCACTAAATCGCTCATTACAATACGACCGACGTAACTTGGCGAGTCTGAATATAGCCGCAGGCGAACTTTCGCGCATGTACACTCGTAAAAAAAGTGTTATTAGCATTCATTATTTAGTAATATAAATGACAAAATTATTTTTTAATATAATTCATACTAAATAGTATTAAATTATTCACGTTAAGTATTTATTATTAATTGTTTAATATAAAAAAAAAAAGAAATAAATTTACTAAAAATAATGTATAACTTGTTACGCGCGTACATAAGTACACGCACCCTTTTTTATTTATTGCTTAAGTGGGTGGACGAGCTCACAGCCCACCTGGTGTTAAGTGGTTACCAGAGCCCATAGACATCTACAACGTAAATGCACCACCCACCTTTGAGATAAGAGTTCTAAGGTCTCAAGAATAGTTACAACGGCTGCCCCGCCCTTCAAACCGAAACGCATTACTGCTTCACGGCAGAAATAGGCAGGGTGGTGGTACCTACCCGTGCGGACTCACAAGAGGTCGTACCGCCAGTAAAAAAGTATTGAATAATTGTTGTTGCATGTCCAGGCGCTCCGCTCGGAGGCGGCGGCGCGCGTGCCCGCCGAGCCCGGCGCCGGGTCCCGCGAGGTGGCGCGCATCCGCGTGCGCCTGCCGCCCCCGCACCACGACTGCATCGAGCGGAGGTTCAACGCCGACGACACGCTCGCCGTAAGTACCCGCCCTCGCCCTAACCACGTCATTACGGATCCTCCCCATCCATTAACGGTGCTTTTAGGTACCTCAAGCACCGGTCATCGTTCTCGCCGAACCCGTCGCTTGCACGAAGGGCTCGACGAGTAAATTAACCCACAGACACAGCCCACTGAGTTTCTCGCCGGATCATCTGAATGGGTCGCGTTTCCGATTCTGTAGTAGATTCTGCGAAGCATTGCCCTTGCTAGGGCCAGTGTTAGCAACACTCCCGGTTTGAGCCCCGTGAGCTCACCTACACGTCAAGGCGAAGCTGAAATAACCTATCAAGACTCTCAGCATAGGCAAGGGAAAAAAAGTGGTCCTTGACATCACTGATAACTCCTGACCCAAAGACATTAAAGATCAGTTATCATTTTTATAACTTTTATTCATAGCTCATAACTATAAATCAGCTATCACATACAAGGTCAATGACCGCGTGAAAGATTCATAAAGCAATAGAAATTATATAGCAAACGATAATTATTTTTCGCGTCATAGATAGTAATTCAATTACTATTTGTTTTATCAATATACTACTGTGAAAGTGTGGTTATATAATAAGGAGTGTATAAATAATAAACATGACCAATGAATTTTATGAAAAATCAATACACTTTTTTTCACTTACAATCGCGTCACGCGCCACTTGTGCTATGAGTCCATTCATATTATCTAGAACCATTGCCTCAATGAGAGACAGTAACCACTCTGCATCAGGTAGTCCGTATGCTCGTCTATAGTAGGCAATGACAGTAAAATGAATCAAAATATCATCAAACCATTATAAATAAAGCAATCTTATGTTACTAAACCTTTTTTTTTCGTTCTTTCCAGGCATTGTTAGATTTCCTAGCATCCAAAGGTTATCCGCAAGAAAACTACAAGGTCATCTCTAGCTGGCCTAGAAGAGACGTAAGTGACAATATTAAAAACAAACTTAAATCAAATTAGAAATAAGTTATAAAATTAGACTTATATTACATACAACTATAAAAAATCAAACTGAAAAGTGACAGCACAACCTTTGTAAATGTAAACCAGAGATGTACATTGTAATATTATTAAATATGTATTGTTTTCAAAGGATTATACTAAACTTGCATTCTATATTATATACATTATTTATATAAATGTTATATTACCGCAAAATGTAACAGCAAATGAATAAACTACCTAGAATGGTTTTAACCATTACAATTAGCAAGACAATATACATGCCAACATTACTTTTTACCGCATGTGTCATCTGCGTAATTTTCATTAAAAAATACTCATCAAGATATTGAATGTTATTAGTTACAATTAAAATTTATCGATAGTTCGATCACACAGTTATTTAAATAATTTTGAAATCTCCATTGCATTTTCGTTGGGCAGCGGCTTTGCTCTGCCCTTGGCATTGCTGTAGTCCATGGGCGACGGTAACCACTCACCATATCCACCACCACCACTCACAAATATTTTAATCATAAACTTTTAAACATGTATAGATCGGTTACAATATCTCTGGACCTCGCTGGAATGTGAAGCCTTTCCCAGTTTCCCTTTCGCCAGGTCCAGAGATAATGTAGTCGGGCTGCATTTTCATACTAATAAATTCCTTAACTTTTGCCAGCTCACCGTGGAATCTCACAACAGTACCCTGAAATCATTGAAGCTGTGCCCACAAGAAACGGTTATGCTTGAAGAGCGGTGAAGAAGACCACTTTGAGTGCATCACTGTAAAGTGAATTAGGGCTGTGTGCGTGTTCGGCCCGCGGAACTGATATAGGATCGGTGGCAGTGCTCGTTAATTGTACCGAAGCGTGTTTGTCAGGCTTATGTGTAGTCTGTATGAATTATTACATTAGAAAATATAAACAATTTTTCAACTTGATTTTCCTCTTTTTTTTCTACTTTATTAACACTGAAGCAATAACGGACACCAAGTGCTATCAATAATCATTGAGGTGTTGTTTATAAACACTCAGAATAAAAGTTGAGAAAAATGGGCAACTTTGGATACAATGTTGTAACTCATTGTTTTCAGAGATGCGAATATCACATACCTTCTGACGGATACAGTTCACTGGGCTAAATATGGTTTCTATTCTGGTGTTTAACATGTAAAAATATATATATATAAATTTTATTTTTTTGGCTTAGCTGGGTGGATGAGCTCACGGCCCACCTGATGCTAAGTGGTTACCGGGGCCCATAGGCATTACAACCTGAATGCCGCCACCCACACGCCGTCCGCCGCCGTCACAAGCCATCCTACCACCAGTAATTACGCAAATTATAATTTTGCGGGGTTGATTTTTATTACACGACTAGCGACCCGCCCTCGCTTCGCTTCGGAAACATTAAAACACACATGAAACCAAAAAAATAAAATAATTTTTTTTTTAAGAAAGTTGCCTATGTTCATCAGGGACAATGTCGGCTTCTAATGGAAAAAGAATTTTTCAAATCGGTCCAGTAGTTTCGGAGCCTATTCGAAACAAACAAACAAACAAATCTTTCCTCTTTATAATATTAGTATAGATGTTATTTCATCACCGTGGAAGTCAATCGTGAACATTTGTTAAGTACGTATTTCATTAGAAAAATTGGTACCCGCCTGCGGGATTCGAACACCGGTGCATCGCAAGATACGAACGCACTGGACGTCATATCCTTTACGCCACGACGACATCAGAATATCTATCTCTAAGGAATATGATTTTGATTTTGATTATTGTAAAGTTTCATCCAAATCCATTCAGTAGTTTTCGCGTGAAAGACTATATTTTAAGGTACCAAAATCACGCTTTTTAACCGACTTCAAAAGAAGAGGCTATCAATTCGGGCACCTTTTTTATCAATGTGTGTTCACCGATTTCTCGAGAATGCTTGAACCGATTCTGATAATTATTTTTTTCTTTTTTTTGTTCGAAAGGGTAGACTTCCGGAATGGTCCTATAATCATAAAGATTTGATGATGGGATCCTGGAGAAATCCAGAAAAATCTATGATTGTCAAAGCCCATCTTGAAGTGATTTGAGAGTTTCAATGTTGTAATGAATAACGTATTTATTTGGTTAAGGATTAATATCATCTTTATAAAAACATCTTCACAAATAATGCTTTATTTTAGAACAAATTTGGTTAGCATAAAAAATGATAAAGTGAGCAAACCTTAACATATAGACACATGCTGTCGCGGACTTTTTTTTAGATCTTTTAAAGGGGAACAATTCTCTCATACATTGTTTTAGCGAAACTTTAACCGTTTCTCCAGCGCACACAGTGAAGCTCTCAAAAGGGAAAAAAACCTCGGTTTAGAAACATCCTTTATTGGTGCTCCGCTTTTATTGGTCTTAGCGTGATGTTATAGCCCTAGCCTACCTCAATAAATGAGCTATGTGACACTGAAATAATTTTTCAAATCGGACCAGTAGTTCTCGAGATTAGTGCGTACAAACAAACAAACTCTTCAGCTTTATAATATTAGTATAAATTAGATAATTGTTGAGAAGCAAAGAAAAGAGACAGATATTTTTTAATAAATAACCAAAATCCTTCAGCGGTATACACTAATAAGAAGTAAATACATCTTGGAATGGGAATTCAGCCTTATCTACGTAAAGTAGATCTGATAAAAAGCAAACAGCACCTGCTGCTCCCTCATACAAACTCTCAGGATTATCAGGCAGTTTGGCATCTCTGTTAAAAGCTTCTGTGTTCAGGAACTCAGCAAACATCTTTGCCCGATATAAATATTTTTCCTCGTCAGTAAGCCGATACAACAGAAGGAAAACATAACCATTACCGGACACACCATGGCAGATACCAGGTCCTTTAAAGAGCAAGCCCTTCTTCCAGATTAATTCAGCTGCTTTAATACAAGCTTCAAGATATTTCTGCTCTTGGTATACTAAATAAGCCTTTGCCATGAGGTATACTACTCCAGGCGCTCCATGGCACCAGTGTACTAATTTGTGCTCCTTCATGGTTCTCTCTTCCATACAAGCTGGCCAGTTTCCTTCATCAGTTTGTAAGAATACCATATAGTCTATAGTTGTTTTGATATCGTGTGCGGCTGACTTGTTGTGCGATATATACCCAGGTACAGTTAACAGCATTTGTAATATAAAAGAGAGTCCGTGTGCAGCTCCTAAATACTCTGTATTGTAATAATGATACATGAGCGGACAAGGACTTTTGAATTTAGAGGAATATTCTCGACCAGAATCAACAATCACATTACATAACTGGAACCATTCATCTGGCGATAATATTGGAGTTTGCAGTTCTCTGGTTAGCCAGAGCGCTCCAGCAAGGTACCCAGCTCTACCCACGAAAAACTCGTCTCCTCCGCACTTTAAAAATTTTGGGTTGAGATAGAGCTTAAACAAAGATTGATATTGTTTCAAACTTTCTTTAAAATTGCCATCACCCATTTCTTTGTACAAAACTGTACTTAAAGCATATGTGCCAGCATCCCCCAGTAAGAAGGAGGTTTTATCTCCTGCAGACACTTCTAGGGCAGGTGATAAATATTCCAGTGCTTTTGCAAGATAAGCCGATTTATTTTCTGACAGGCGCAGATTTTTCGCCAATTGGTAAAACATGAAAGAAACTCCCGTAACGCCGACATAAAGACCACCGTCGACTTTAGATCGTGTAGCTGGTAAGCGCTTAGTAATATTTTCTAAATATTCATTTATTTGTCCACAAATAGTGTCTATATAGATAGCAACCGCACCACATTCGTAATCTTCGTAAGGGTTTTGAAAATACCGAACCATTTTGTAACCAGATCTGACTTTTGATGATAGACTTCTGAAATTAAAAAAAAGGTATTTCAAATTTTTATACATGTAGTGCTATTTTCACGTTAATTTTTCAAATTTCATTGACAATTGAAGTAAGTACCTACTTTACAAGTCTGTTCTAGAAAACAAATAATGTTCAGCTGTCAAATCTACAAATTTCTACTGACTGATACCTACCTACAATTGCTTAGGTATGTACTTAACAAATTATTTTAAGAAAAGAAAGGTAGGTACTTAAGTACGGTACCGTACAGGACATTCAAATATAATAAGTGTTTATATAATAATCTATGCGGTACATAATTACATATTTAGGTAGGTATTTTTCACTGGTATTTTTTCTTGGTTAATATTGACATTTAACAACTGACATTTGACTGTCAATTAACTAGTCCCTCCTTTAAGGGCATAGACCTTTATGGAAGGCCATCTGAAATCGAATAGTAGGTACCGTACAATGGGGTAAATAGGGACAAAATCGACCTTCAGATTGAATTTTAAAATAGTTCCAATTAAATAGTCACTGCTCAACCAAAGAAATAAGTTGAGTCTTGAACGTACCTAGGTGATAAAAACCGTTACATTATTTTAATTATTCATTTTAAAGAAATAATCGGTAAAATAATGGCCGTCCCAATTTACCCAGCGTCCGGGGTAAATTGACACGGTTAAGGGTTAAATTGGGATATTTGTAAGGGTTGTCAACTCGCAGTACTGCGATATATAGGTAGGTGCCATATAATTATTTATATGGACCGAAATGATGAATACAATCCATAATTTAAGCACAATACACAACATAGTGTAAATTAAGCTGGTTTCTATTCCGAAGCGATGTGACGTGAATGATAATCAACAATACAATGATCAAAAAAAGTATGTGCATGTTATATTTTAGAAAATTATTATTTAATTTCCTTAAAAATCACAACTCTGAAACAAAATGATAAAATAGAATAAAAAATAGAAAACAAAAGGACTGGAAATGCAATAATACAATTTTATTTAATCAACATTTTCAAAATAATCTTTGAGCAAGAGTAAGATATCAGGTGAATAAGATAAAAAAACAGCTTTATCTGATTACTGCCAATAATAACAAAAATAAAAGAAATTCTTTCTAAGCTAAATAACTAAACTCAATTAATTCACTCACTCATAATTGGATATCTCGGATTTTTAATTAATGTTACATTTAAAATCTGAGGCCTGTTTTTATTTGTGTGTGCGTTTTGAATGTTAACAAAATCATGATTCGACGCGTGAATAGATTCTGAAATAACAAAAGTTTTGATTCGTTTGAGTTCTTTTAACTTTTAATTTTTTTTATTGCTATAAAGAACATACGACCGGGCAGATATTACAAGGTAAATGTCGCGAAAAAAAAGTAATTATATATATACTTTTCTTTTACCTATAATACTTACATAAACTAACTGATAAACACATTAACCTTCTTTACATCACGCAATTAAGTGATAGTATAGGCTAAAAAATCTATTATAAGATATCAGTGACAACCCTAACAAGCCATCCCTATTTTGTCTTTTGGCGTTCCAATTTTGTGTTTTCTCGTCCCTAATTTTTCCAGTCTCGTTCCAAATTACCCTACATACGTCCCAATTTTCCCCAAAAAGAAAGGAAAAAATATACATTTTTTATTTTGTCGAAATATTGTATTTAAAATAAGAATATTGCAACTTACCGTTTGTTGTGGTATTTCCAGGTGTATTAAAAACTTATATAAACTGTAATCTTATTGAAAAAACAACGATAATATCACTTTTTTTAAAAGTTCTTTAAGCTGTTTTAAAACGCACTTTTCAACCACTATTTTAAATTTAATTTGACGAATTTTTGGGACCAACTTAACTCATGTTTAGTACTTCCATAGTTAACTTGGTTTTTCTTCTATACATTGATAAATATTACCTTAAAGAAAATTAGGTAGATTCCGTGCTACAAGTACTTTAAGAATCTTCCGCAGGTTTGTCCCAATTTACCCCAGGATCCCAATTTACCCCATGTCATGGTAATTGATTTGTCGAGTATAGCGCATATAATATTTTATCAAAATAACAACCTTTCAACGATTTTACTTGTGAGACAAGCTCGTGCTATTTAGAAATTTAAAAATAAAATAAAAGAGTTTTAAATTAGTTTAGTTTCCAGAAAAGCTCTTAAGTTGTAGAATTTTGCTTCACTTTGAATCCTTTGACCGAATGGTTAAAAAAAAGTAGCGTATGCAAGATTCACGATTCCCTTGCTCAAGTTTATTGATTTATGAATGTTTGCAAATATTTGAATTGATTTCATTGATTTCATTTGGCATTTCAGCAAACCAACCAAGTTTCAACCAACGGCCACAATTATAATTTATTTATTTATTTATTACCTACCTATAATTTATTTACCAATTTTTATGAGTTATTTGAGTCGAACCATTTTATATTTTTATATGAAAATCGGAATCTCACATACATTTAATATATTCAGTCACGCTTTATTTATGTTACTAAGCAACTGTTTGATCGGTATTGAGGAAATTTTAAATATACGTAATGAAAGGCAGAACATTCTGAAGGACAGTGCAAAACCAATCCTATATGGGGTACTATTATATTATTAATTAATAAGACTTAATAAATAAGAAAAAGCTGAATAAACAATAAAAACTTCAGAAATAAGTATAATATGGCTTTCAATCGCGGAAATGTAAGTACTTAGACAGCAAAATTTTATATTTTTTCATGGCTCATAATTTGTATAGGGAAGGTGTTAAAATACAAACTAAATCCGTGTCCGTGTATCAATTATTTTAAGTTTAGTTAAAAAATTGTAATTGACAGTTATGGAATAAATCAAATACTTGAATACCGCGTGTCAATTATCTCGCAGAACCGAACATACCAGAGACAAAGAGCTATTCTCGCTCCAAGTTGATTCATCTTCGATTTTGCCCGGATTCTGTTCTAGTTAATGTTTCGGATCTTCTTTAAATCGATTGGGGACCGACTAAAACCCTAAACAGCATCAAAAGAAGCCGAATGCTATATATACCTACTTAAAAAAGAAGAATAATAGAATGTGTGACATGTTTTAGCTTTGGAAGTTCAAATTATAATGACAAGAAACAACCTAGAGACTAAATGCCGTATTTCCATAGACATAGTTAATACACATTTCTCGGACCTCACTTCACACTGGGGTGCTCCGGGGTGCGGCTTAAATGGAATCAATCCTCAATCTTTTTGTAAAGTCCATGTACAAAAAAGTATTTAATTTATTTTTATTGCCTTAATAGGCAGACGAGCTTACGGCTCACCAAGTGGTGCGTGGTTACCGTCGCCGTCGCCCATGGTCTTCAGCAATGCCATGGGCCCCGTTTGAAGAAGGACATGTCATATAGTACTCGGGAAACACCGTGGAGGGGAGCTCATTCCAAAGCCGGATGGTACGTGACAAAAATATCTCTGGAAACGCGCTGTAGATGACCGCAGTGGATCCAGGTAGTACGGATGAACTCTACTCCGGTGTCGGGCGGTGCGATGGTAAAAACGAGATGATCATGGCATCATCTCAAACAATTCCTCAGAGCACTCCCCATGGAACATACGATATAAAATACAGAGAGAATTGAAGTCCCTCCTCAGACCCAGAGGTTCCAAACGATCCGTGAGAACTGGATCCGTTAAAACAACGTTATGTCCTTTTTTAATACTTATTTTCGACTTTCGTATAATGTACGATTTACGTCCTCTTGTCGTGAAAATTGACAAAAAAAAAGAAAATAAAACGAAAAGTTGAAAAACTCGCATTAAGCACATTTCACTTTTTTTTTCACCGGACATACCCCCACCACCAGCATATTGCCACAGCGCAATCCGAAAATGAAATTGCATTAATTTAATCAAATTCAAAGTACTATGGTGTTTATATGATAAATATACGCTATAAAGAACATACTTAATTGTACTTTATTGAGTATATTATTAAATAAATAAAGATATGCGTTAAGCGGGATATTAAAACAGATGTTTTAACGTACCGCATTTTGATTACAATTCAGACACAATTGAGCTAGGTAATAACTTACTACTGTACCTAAGTACTGTTAATCTGTATAAAAATTTTAAATAATCATTTTAGATTAGAAAAATCGCATTTCGTACAAGGGGCAGATCTGCGCAATCACTAGATGTAAGCGGTCCGAAGGTGGATCACGGATCTTGCGGAGAGGGACGTTTGTTTTTACAAATCAAACCTGCTATAGCTGATCCGAGGCAGGCATTAGCACAAAGATCTCACACTTCGCTCTCAGGGTATGTAATACCTGCTTAAATTATCGTTATACCGCGGCCGGTGCGAGTAACGCCTTCTAACGTCAGATAGCAAAAAAGGGCTTAAAATCAATATACAGAGTATCTGAGTCTAGAACATTCTCGAAAGTTCCAATAGTATCGAGAGTATTTGAACGTTCTAGTTCTATCGAGAATGTTCTGAAAAATTGTAGACATACACATGCGACACGAAATTCGTTTTATCCGAAGCGAAGCGATCACTTGAGGCGAAGCGAAAAACTGAATTTTGATAATAAACTCTACGTTAAGTGTCGTGTACTAAACATTATTGCAATTTTCAACAGAAACGATTTTATTAGAGAGGAGACCAAGGATGATCCCATTAATATTCAAGCAGTGGGGGAAGGGAAAGTGCAACTCTCACGGACGCCTCAAGAAAAAGATCGACTTCCTGACAGGATAAGCCTTGACAGGTAGAGAATTTAAACAACCTATTTATATCGACGCTTGAAAGGCAAACGTGACTAAGCGACAATGCGTGAACTTTACAGTAGACTAATTTAAAGGTGAAATACCTGAAAAACATTCTATTTTAACGAATCTAGCTGTAGGATTGAAACGATTTTAAAAATATATTTTTTTTGCGCATCGAATACGGTTATTGCCTATCATTTATGTACGAAGCAGTTATTGTCGCTTAGTCACGTTTGCCTTTCAAGCGTCGATATGAATCACATGATGGTTCAAGATTTCGTTCTATTAATTTAGATGGCAACAGTTCTATTTTAGTTTTAAATTTGTCAATGTTTTATTTATTTATAAGGCACACAATACACATTACAAGCTAGAAAAAAGATACACATAAATAAACAAGTAAAAGATCTGGCTTTTATGTTATGCCATGGGCGCACGACTAATCAAAATAAATTTGCTAAATACACAATGTTCCTAACAACTATGGATAAAATAATAATATGATAACGAAAACTACCTTAACTTATAATGTTATGAAAGTAATTTTACTTACAATAAACACTAAACACTTACTTTGTTAATAATATTCAACCAAATCGTAATATGACTATAAAATAAAGTGTACCTACTTTATTCTAGTCATATTCGGTTTTTTTTATTTATTTATTTTATTGCTTAGATGTGTGGACGAGCTCACAGCCCACCTGGCGGTAAGTGGTTACTGGAGCCCATAGACATCTACAACGTAAATGCGCCACACACCTTGAGATATAGTTCTAAGGTCTCAGTATAGTCACAACGGCTGCCCCACCCTTCAAACCGAAACGCATTACTGCTTCACGGCAGAAATAGGCGGGGCGGTGGTACGTACCCGTGCGGACTCACAAGAGGTCCTACCACCAGGTTTCTGTGGATAATTTTATTACCGAGATACGAACGCATTTTAATTAGAATTATTTTATTCAAGGCGCGGACTCTCCTCCATCCCACACATCGTCGGCGAACCAGGCTTACGTCTCTTATCTCTACAGCACAATCTTATAAACAGTCTAACGGGACTAACACCACTTGACCTCGGGAAACTGGTGTTCTTAGACGTCTACGACAATCAGATCGACAAAATAACAGCTCTGGATAGATTGTTTAGTTTGAGGGTACTTCTGATGGGAAAGAACAGGTAATTGTCTGACTACCGATCTTTCTGGGTCTACCAATTCGGAATCTGGAATAAAATCCCCTCCACGGATTTTAATGAAAATTATTGTTTTCAGAATCAAAAGAATTGAAGGTCTTTCGAATTTAATAAAATTAGAAGTATTAGATTTACATGGTAATCGAATAGGAAAAGTGTGTGGTCTTTCTAATTTGGTCGAACTCAAAGTTCTTAATCTTGCCGGGAATCAAATTAAGGGTATCGGTATTACCGATCTACAAGGTCTAGCTTCGTTGAGAGAGTTAAATTTGAAACGAAACCGCTTAAGGAAGCTACAAGGTTTCCAGAACACGCCGAAATTGCAAAAACTTTACCTGGGCAACAATGACTTGCAGAGGTATGATTCATTTACAAAAAATCATTATGCCTTGCTGATGTGAGATTACATGATGACGATTGGTTTGATTGATTTCAGCGTCGAAGACATGTCAACGCTGAGTGAAGCCACTTCGCTTATAGACATTTCTTTAGATGGGAATCCCGTGGCTCTAGGAGGAGATTGCACTCCATTCCTTGTTTCTTATCTTCCGAATTTGTTGACTTTGACTAATATGCATATCACTGAACAGGTTTGTTTATAAAAATTATTAATTTTAGGTTTCAAATTACGTTGGCACTTCTGTTTTTATCCATGTAAACATGTTCTGAGTCAATGTATGTAGATCTAAATAGGATGGTAAAATGGGTTTTATTTTATTAAAAGCTCGGGATTACAATCCCATATTCCGAGATTTTGTGCCTTGGTTAATTTTATGGTTTAGGCACTTAGGATTTCATAATCCATTTGGGCACCGGTGCCCATAACGTGTTCTCTGATTAGGTGAGGAGGGCTGCAATGGCGTGGCGGAATAACAAGGAAGCAGCCCATGCCGCTTATTGTGCCCTCGGTGGAAATGCCCAACAAGAAGCAAGACGCGACCAAATAATTAACAACGCTCGCACTAATTGGGAATTACTAAGGTACGTAGAAAATTTTCACACACATCATATAACAAAATAGTTAAAGCGAGTTTATAAACATGAATTTACTTTTAGATCAGAAAACAAATGTTTCGTTAATGTAATGAGTCCAATGAAAAATTTGGACTTGGAAAAGGAATTCGGCCTTGAAGCCACCGCTGAGATATCGCAAAGTTGCACCCAAACCATGGATGTAGCGGGCCTGCCTGATGTTGTAGTACCTCTACAGCAACTAGAAACTGAGGATTCGGATTGCAAAAACAATAACAGCGATACAAACGTCAAAGTAGTTGCCGAAGCGCCTAAGCCATCTCCTATTAGAAAACTTCAGAGGAACTCCACAGTTCGGAAACCATCAGAGAGACGTGTCAATTTTTCTGATAGAAGTGCCTCTCAGGACACTGACGCCTCGCATTCAACTTCCACGAGCAGTGATTTAAGATTGCCACCTATTTTGCTACCGATCATCTCGTCTCTGGAAAACGTAAAGCTAACAGACAGTACTGATCATGTTCTGAAGCGATGGGAGAGTATTTCTAGCGTAGAACCAGTCATAGATTCTTCATTTAGTTCGTTTCCTTCTTCGTCGAGCGACAGCGAAGAAGAAAATAGCAAAAGACCGATTCGTCGTATGCCGACAGCGCTGAGGCGCCGCGAAAAGTTTAGCACGATGCGTTCCAGGTCTGTTTGTGACCCGGAAAGTCGAAGAGTAAAGGGTAAGAATTCTGAAAACAGTGAAATCGCGAGTAACTTATCAAGCAGCACGAATATAGCTTCTTCAACGTCGGGAAGCGATCATAATTCGAAGGTTTTGAGACGTGACGGCTCTCTCAACAGTAAACTAACCAATAGAAATATTCGAAGCGCGACAATCTCACGACGAAACGAAAGAGCCTCTTCAGCGAGCAGAGCTTCGACAGCAAGAGTCAAGTCTGGTAAAAGCCTATCTAGTTTCAAGACTTCGGAACCGGTACCAAAAGCTATAATACCAATGTCAAAAGATAGGGAACAAGGTCAGTTCTAATCCGATATCGAAGAGTTTCAATCTGTTTTAGTAAATTTGTAATTATGAAACGTTATTTCGATCTAGGTGTTGATTATTTAGTCGAAGTCTGTAACGGCTTGGTGAGCGCGTGGGGCGCCGGAGCAGTACGTCGGTTAGCGAGAGATTGGGAATGGGAAAAAGCTCGCACAGTTACCAAAGCTGCTTTTCATTACGTTCATTTCAACGCCGTCGCTCAATCTCTGCCCGAATTGAAAAGCAAGTGAGTATTTTTTTTCTGCAATACATTTGGCTTTCATGATTAATCAACCTAATCAGCCCATAGTCGTCTCTTACCCAGGCCTCTGCCTATGTTCTAGCACCACTAGTGAGCCCTATCTTTTGGTCTCCTCACCTATTTCTTGCCGGCTACGCTTCATAGGTCTTTGCTCCAACTTATTTCGGCGGTGACCCACATTACATTTCCCGAGACGCGAACTCTATGTGTCGTGATTCATTGACATGATAAATAACTGATTTTATAGAGTAGGTATCATCTTTATGGATTTCAATTGAATTGTTTTATAACTCAGATTCCCGAACGTGACACACATATCAGTGCGGGCGACTGGCTTGCAATGGTTGGGCCAGCTACACGCTCTAGCGGAATTAAGAGGTATCACTGGCCTAGCGGTTTTGCCAGAAGGTAATCCTATACACGCAAAGATCTGGCGTGAATATTCCGTTTACAGACTTGCTCACTGGGGCTTGAAGGAAATCAACGATGAGCCGGTAAGGAAAACAAAAACCATTTATGTTTTTGTTTTTAGTAAAAAAAAAATTTTTTTATATATTTATAAAAAAAATATTTCATAACAATCACGCCACGTTAACTGGTCCCGTTATAAGTTCGTAAAGAATTTGTGTTACAGGTACCAGATACGGAAATAAATATAATATTTTTATTATACACATACATACATTTAATATACATCCATAACCCTGGAAAAGACATTTATATTTATCATACAAATATCTTCCCTTGGCGGGATTCGAACCCGCGACCCCCTTGTGTAGTGACCATGTCACTTACCACTACACCAGACGGCCGTTTAAAAAGTTAGATGAGAAAGCCACCTAGTTACCTAAGATAAACAGTTAGCAACCCTAAATATACTAATACTGAGTTGAGTAGTAGCAAGTTAAATGTTTTTTTTTCTTGCTTAAACGAGTGAATGAGCTTAGTGGTTACCGGAGGTCATTAACAACGTCAATGCTGCTACCCGCTTTCACACATGAGTTCTATAGTACAGCTGCTGCCCAACCCGGAACCGGATTCAAACGGAACGCATCATTGCTTCGTAGTAGAAAAAGGCGAGGTGCTCGTGCCTATCCGTGCGTGCTCATAAAACTACTTACAAAACTTATAACGCAAATTATAAAAATAATGCATAAAGTTAGTTTGCGGTTTTGATTATGTAACTTTATTTTATTGAACAAAAGTCTCGTCGCGCGACCCTCTCCTGTACTTGCTGCATTAATTTTCGTAAATTCTCACAAGCAGGTAACTGACGACGAAATAAAATCAGCGAATCGAACGTATAATGGTTTAAGTGACCTGGTTCTTCGCGCGCTGCCGGATGCTCCACTCCAACCACTTTTGTCTAGGTTAGGAAGGAGTGGCCACAGCAACATCAGTGCAAAAGCCTGGTTAAGGGCCGCCGACCCTGCGCTGAGAGATGTGATCGCTAAAGAGGCCTTACAGTTCAAGAAAGGGCAAGTTTCGCAAGTATGGACTAATCATTTGGATTTTGATAATAGCCGTGCCTAAGCTGATAGCCTTGAGAGGCTATTTCAGCGTAATCTTAACTAGTAGGTGAGCGCGCGGGACTTAAACCTGACGACGCTGCTAACACTAGCCCTAGCAAGAGCAGTGCTTCGCAGAATCTACCACCGGATCGGAAACACGACCCACTGAAAAAATCCGGCGAGAAACTCAGTGGGCCAAATACTCGTAGTCTAACAATTGTATTGTGATTTTATCGGTTTTTTTTTTAATTGAAACGTATCATACACGTGTACAATGGCCACGATCAAAGAACATCGTGAAATGGAACCAGATCAGCAAGACTTACAAATTTATGCCGTTAAATGGCATGTTATAGATCTATAGATAAAGTATAGAGTAGATACTGCCTATTTTAGCCGCGAAGAACTATTGCGTTACGGTTTGAAGGATGAGACAGCCTTTGTACTATACGACTTCGACCTTTTGTGTCGAGATGGGTTATGACGTGACGAATCTAATGTCTATGGGCTCATTTAACGAGATAACAAAAAGTGAGGTCGCCAACTTGTCTACGCAATAAAATAAAATAAAAAATCAATTGCACGTCACTGCAGTTGCAAATCGTTTCTATTAAAGAGCGCCCGGACCGATTTTGCTATAGTTGGCCGTTTGAGGCCCATGTAAAATATAATATTGTCATTATTTTCTTCGGTTTTCTTTAGTCGTAGGTATATTTAAAACTACCTACCTATAAAAACACGAAGGCTGTAAAGTACCCGAAACGTCGCTAATAATGTAATGACAATGAAAAACCTGAGTTTGAACTTGACTTTGACTTTGACTTCCTCGCCTGGACCTAAGCCCAAAAAATGATAATATGCGCCAATGCATAAGCGCCGAAATTGTATAATAAAATAAAGTTAAATATAGATTATCCTGATCCGTTATATCCGATCTTACATTCTTGATTTACTTCCCGTTGTTCGAAGGAGGATATGAGTTGGCGCGGCAGGGGGCGCGACCAGTTATGTCACGCTATTGATCTGGCCTGTGGCGCGGCGCAACGACTCCGGACGCTCGAGTTACAATGGCCGATGATTCTTGTTGAAATGATTGAGGACATCCTGCGTGACTTCAGCCAAATGGATACGCACGTTAAAGAGCAAATGAAGATGTTGATGGACACTTTGTAGTTTTAAGTTAATGTATTACTAGATGATGACCGAGCTGTGCTCGGTTTTTTTTTTATAACGCCATCTTGTTGTGTCTTTAAAGCGGTCAGTTGCCCTCAATTAAGAAAAATATTATTAGTATTCGCCAATAGATGTCGGGAAGATTTGATTATTGAAAACACGAATAAAACAACATTTTATGTAAATAAATCGTAGCTAGATAAAAGCAAGCTCCCTTGCTTTTTACTTTTTAAGTTCAGTCGCGAATAAACGCTCCGATTAACCAGTTGTGTTATAAAATAACTCCTAAAGTGGTGACCCCGACATGATACTTTAGGAGTTATTTTAGTAGTGGTCAATGATGATTCAGGGCGTTGTCGGAAGTTAGATAGTTAAACAACACAATTAGTTAATCGGAGCGTTTATTCGCGACTGAACTTAAAAAGTACAAAGCAACGAAGCTTGCGGGCGCTGCCGCATGTTATGACTACGAACAATTTTGTTTACCTAACAAACTGTGTCCCTACAAATTCATAAGTTACGAATAATGTAATTTTATGTTGAAGTTAAGAGTAATGTAATTTGTAAATAAATTACATGTGTGCAATTCACACGTGGTAGAAGTGAAACCTTCCAAAATTAAAATACAATTATCCTAAACGTCATAAGTATATTTAAAATTTTGTCATTAGTAAATAATTGTAAGATAGCGCCCTCTGTGAATTGATATTTTAATTTCACGTATAATCCTAAATTAAAATTCACTACAAGAGCTTTCATACACACGTTAGTATTAAAAAATCTCACAGATGGCGCTGTATTAAATAGTATGTATATTTTGTCTCATTCTTTGCTGGCTTCATCCTACACATTTTTGTATTTGTGTCTCTTACCTGTCGTTTTTTCCGTTGCATCCGGTTTGAAATCACAACGATTCTAAAGAAGTTTTCACTTCAAAAAAAAGGTTGAACAAGTTTTACAAATTCATCATAACATCTTGGCATTTTGAGCATTGGAAGAGTGTGTCGATCAAACAAACAACAACGAACAAACAAATAAACATTGAAAATAATTCTGTAAATGATTGGTTTAAGATGTTTATTTCTCTCCTTTAGCCTGTCCCTTTTTATTTTATTTTACTTTGCTTCAATATTCCTACACATAAGATTCCAATGTTTTATTAAAAGTCATAAATGTAGAATGTTTAAGACAGAGCGTGGTTGGTTCCATGGTGTTTATAACACGGTGACGACGTCATTATTATTGCCTTCCTTAATGACAGTAATTAAGACTCACTTGTCCAATGAATTCCGTTTATTCCATTTCAAGTGTAGGTATGTACACTGTACAGCGATATTAACAGGCTCAGCTCCGTTCGACAGCTCGAACCATAGATTATACAATTAATATATTCGAGAGCTCGAACCGGAATGTTTTGTGCGACAATAGTCACTCGGCAATAGTGTTAGAACTGGTCTTCTTACTATAAGTAACCATCATAAGTTTATTAAGCAAACGTTCCGACTTCACACAAATTTGAGTTAACTTTTACGCTATCGAGAACGTTAAAAACTCTCACTAAGCAGACAAAGCAGAAATTTTATAAACGTTAAAACTGTGGTCGTCAATGGATCCATGTTTAGTTAATACACTTCACGAGTGCTACCCATAGATAATACACTTAATATTCAAGAGTCACCTATCATCAATTTAAATTGTGTGTTTCAGGAAGAAATTATAAAGGACTTGGCTTCGGCCTTAATGAAATTTTTATTTCAGGATATAATATAAATCATACAAGACCTGGTTTCGGCTTTTTTGAAAATTTATTCCAGAAATAATATAGAACAGACATAGATCCCTTTGCCTTTCCTAATAAGGTAAAATTGTACCAAAAGAAAAAGTCTACAGTGTCACCCCAATTTTTTATGTTTTTATTAATTACGACAGCAATGTTTTAAAAATTGGCTATAAGGTGGTCACGCGATGGATGACACTGAAAGCACAACTACATCTGCAGATGAGAACACTGGAAATTTATGCGATAATCCTACCAGGGACACTTTGGCTGAAGGTTTGTTAGGGCTCCTGAAGCCGACGGTAGATCAACTGGACGACAGAGTCAAAGCTACAAGGTATATAGAAAAAATTAAGTTGGAAGTAGTTTTTTTTTAACTACTGATTATAAATTTGAGCGTCGTCTATAAATTCCGATAGTTTTATTATATTAAAACTAGATTCACTCTTATATATTTTAAACTAGTTTTAAATGATTGAAATTAGATAAAAATAATATATCAGTATTTAATAGACCCGTTTTTCTTGAAAAACTACCATTAAGAGACATACATTCGAATAAATATTCAAATCACACTACAAAAAAACATTATTGATTAACACAAATTTATTCTACAAACTTTTCATGTTGAATACATATCCTTTTTCGGCATTAAACATTCCAGAATAGCACAACTAGAATTGAAGCAACAAATAGATTCGCTCAACGAAGAACTCGTAAAAGTACGAGAGGCACTCAATAACCATCCCGACTTGGATCCTTATGTGAAAAAACTCATTGCAGCAAAACATAAAGTGACAGTAGTCCTGAATGTTCTGCAAGCTTCTCAGGTTATTTTGTGTTATTGTTATATGTAATAAATATATTTTTTATTGCCCTTGTAACCAGACCAGCATACAACCCACCTAATGGTGAGTGGTTATCATCGCCCATGGACATCAGCAATGCCAGGGGCAGAGCGAGGCTGCTGCTAAGCTACTAAAATGACTTAACTGATTTGAATTTGATACTTTTGTTTAATGTAGCCTTAAGTACTAACAATAAGAACTTGACGGTAATCAAAATATGAACACCAGTGCTTTGCGATATTCATTACCATATTCAATATACCCATGTAGTAAAAGCAGTTTATTCCTGCATTTTCAGGATAGAATAAATGAAATAAGGCGAATGATTGTAAAAGAAAAGAGTGTACGTACAACTGTTGTACAAACTACACTACAACCATCACCTCAGGAACCAGAGCAGAGTACGAGCAGTATTGCCCCAGAGCAAGGCTCTATAAATTAACTATGGAAACTCCACATCAGAACCACATTGACAAGGCCGATTTCGATCACGTATATGAACCAGCCGAAGATAGCTTTCTCCTCATTGATGCCATAGAAAAAGATTTAGAAAACCTACGGTCTAGGAATCCTGCTTTGTGCCTTGAAGTAGGCTCGGGTAGTGGTGTCGTAGTAACTGCATTTGGTATGGCATTCCCTTCAACATTCTGTATCAGTACAGATATCAACTTCAGAGCATGCATAATGTCAAAAAAAACTGCTGAATATAACAAGGTTATATTTGATTCAGTGAGGATGGATCTGGCGAGTTCGTTTGTTGATAATATATTTGATATCATAATATTTAATCCTCCGTATGTAGTGACAGATTCTGAAGAATGCGGCGGAGATGATATCACAGCCAGCTGGGCAGGTGGGGTCAAAGGGAGAGAAGTAACAGACAGATTGTTAGAAATGATACCAAAGAAATTGGCTAAAGATGGTACATTCTACCTTCTGCTGATTGAAGAGAACATTCCAGATGAGGTAATCAATATTATGTCTAATCATGGATTTAGATATAAAACTGTGGTAAGAAGGAAAGTGAGGAATGAACAACAAATAGTTTTAAAATTTTATAGATTAATATATTGAAATAAATATAAGAGAAATACAGTCAAAACCGTTTACTGCGACATCGTTTAATACAACATGCCGGTTATAACAACCAAGAACAAAGGTCCCGGCTGAATGCCATATGACCGCCTTATTAAAAATATTGCTTTCTACGACATTGGTAATAACGACATACCTCATAAAACGACCAAATTTAACTAATATTTCGGAGAATTAGATCTGTTAGAACGACCGGCTAAGCTGTATTGTAAACAATTTGAATAGGTATCCACATTTGTCTTCAATGGCTTTTAAAATCAGGAAAGAAAACAATAGGATTTAGTTTAGTGTAGGGTCTTTTCTAATTCTTAGAAACAAAACACGTGCATGCGGTAATCAAAGCCCGCTTCTTCATATCTCTTCAGTTAGTTTGTTACTTATCTATACACAAGACGCACCAAAACTTTGTGGAGTTATTCGTGAAACTTTCAAAATGTCGCAAAAAAAAAGAAAACAAATTAATATTGAAGAAAAATCGCATATTATGTAAATATATTTTTCCAATAATTCCCTATCGATTTGTTTGTACTTGCACGATACACATTAAACATCACCGGTTGTTACGACTATCGGTTTTTACGACTGAATATGAGCAGTCCCTTCGATGTCGTTATAACAGATTTTGACTGTATATACTAAATAATGTTTTTATGTGCATTTTATTGTTTGATATTCTTTTTTACGGCATCTCCAAAGCTTCTAGCGCCATCTTCATTTTCTTGTGCTCCAGGCAATAATAAGCAATCTTTAATCCATCTTTGAATGTTTGGAAAACTTGATATATCCCATCCAACAGCCTGAAACACTTTGTGGGATGAACAACAGCATCAAAAAAAAATAGAACTGATTTACAGTCATAGTTAATAGAACAATAATTGTTTTTTTTTAATGACAATTGTATAACATACATTTGTGTCTGTGGTAAGTCTGAATAATTGAAATACGTATAGCAAATGAAGAAGACCAAGTTACCTTAGATCATTTTTATTGTTATTTTTAAATTTGCAATAATAATCTATATTAAATATTTAAGGAATGAATTTAGATTTCTTAATTACATCATGAGAGAACACAAACCCCTTTAACTATTCACACAAATTCAGAAATTTGTATCAACTTTTTAGTGTGAAGTGTTTTAGACAACATTTTGTTTGTATTAACTGATGTTCAGTTTGTAGTATCAAGTTTTGAACGTTAATTTGAATGACAAATTCTCAAAAGATACTTTATTTTACCAAAATACTAGACATAGATGCGTAAATAGATGTGTCTGCAATTGTGGGGTGATCAGCTGCCACCCACTTGGTCTTCTCTAAAAACTGATTGAGGAAACTCAATGTAGAGTTAAGGTCATCCTTTAAACTTTGTTTAATCTCCGTTTCACCCAGGAATAATATTGGGAACTAAATATGTAAGTAAGAAAAAAAACAAATCATCATTTCATTATTATGTAACTGTGATTGATAGATCTAATGTATCCAAATTAGGTATACAGAAGTTTGTGGTCATTTTGAATTAACATACATTTGATAATTTTTTACATGGGATAGAGATAACAAATAATAACTACATAAAATTTACAGTTATTAGTAGTTTATTATGAGCCAATACAGGTAGATACTACTACTACTTATTTGTCCCATGAATTAATGAAGAGCTTTCTTGAATAATGGAAAGTTCTCAAATTCAGTTACACATGTTCTTGAGTGACCACTTAATACCAGATGAGCTTTAAGCCTGCTAAAAAGTAGCAGTGGGCAGTAGTTAAAGCTCTTTAAATTTTGGTTTAATTTAAAATTTAAAAAAAAACCTGTTTTTGCCCAGTTACTCGTTTAGATCATAAGCATAATAAATTAATACTCACACAAATTGCTCTTATTTTAACATACAAAGATGCACTGTCAAAGTATAATCTCTGGTTTACGACTGCGCGTTTTTGTAAATCTTTTGGATACCATTGATCGTCTTTGCCATATTTATCGGCTAAATAACATGCGATAGCTCTACTTTCCCATAGAACAAAGTTATTATCGTCCAGTGTAGGTACACAATGCTGTGGGTTTAGTTTTAAGAAACTTTCTTGGAGTTGCTCTTTTTTAAACAGATTTACTATTTCAATTTGTATTGGAATACCTATGGCTCTAGCTGCGAGTAGTGCTCCTCTAGAAGGCCCGCTCACGGGGAAATGGTATAACTTTAAGGAAGACATTTGTAATAATAATTAGTTACAAGGGTTACAGACTGAATTATGCAGTGGAATTTACAAATGGGTAACTAAGATCAATTAGTTCAAATAACAACAACTTTACCAATTATGTTAGAGTCAAAAACAAATAAAAACAATAAAAAAAAACTAAACTTTCACTTCTTTTTTCATTGTGGCAATCGACACGATTACTTGCAAAGTCATTATTGCCAGCGTCTGGCCCTGATAGAGTTATGTAGAAAGCGGGTAGGGAACTTAAGCACTGGATTTAATAAGGTAATTTTACGTACCTAAACTTATCCATCAAAATTAACGTAACTATGATGTTATTCCATCATCGGGAAAGTCATTTGTGAGAATGTTCTAAATGCGGATTTTATTAGACAAAATGGTCCCAAAAATAGTCGTTTTAACCACTGGCATGGTCACATCGATCGACTTCTTTAACTACCTTCGGTGAGTCGACTATAGAATGAAATGAATTTGAATTTCAGCAATGACTTTGACTTAGGAAATATTCTCGTCGAATACAACTGAGAGTTCGACGCATGCAATCTTAAAAATGTAAGCATTATGCATGTGTGGAAATGATAAAGGGAAGACTTTCCATTGAGCAGGTGATATTGCTCGGTAAGCCGACGGTCCGAATGTTGTTGTTCGGAACTTGTATATGTATATGCAAGCTTATCTTGAAAATGTCATCATAAATGAGATTCAGGCATGATGGCTACCGCCACACATGCAATGCAAATCAAAAGTGGAAATAATAAATTAGAAAACATAATTTTATTCCGATTTTGGACTTTCCAGGGTTTGTAAAGCAAACATCACATACAAACAAGCATCTAAATGTGAAGAAAACACTGCGCTGCGTGAATAAACTACGAAGAGAATCCGAGAAGAAAAACATTCTTTGGAAATTAGCCGACGGTCGCGGCTTTAACGGTAATCCGTCACTGGAAAAGATGTGTCAGACATTTTTCAAAATCGACGGGGCCAATTCACAGATATATACCCTAGTGGTGACTCTATACTCTATATTTCCTGGAGGAGTGAAGTTGTGTGATTTGTTTTATTTTGTCTATTTAGTATTTCTTCAGGTTTAAATGTGTAATAACGGTGGTTTATTAACTGTTTAATATGTGTAAAAATGCACAAATGTGGGAAAATGAAACAAAGCCGCTGGACGTAACTTCTCGGGAACCTCCAAAAAGTCCACTGAAAAAATCTCAGTAAATGACCACCATTTTCCTGAGATTATACTACATCCCATATCATTTCATTTCATTTCGTTTTTATTTCACTTCATGCTGTTTCATAATAATCAACTTCATTTCATTTCATAATATCATTTTCATATAAAAAAGTTACGTATCATTAAAGTTAAAATAAGACTTGACCTAATGGTCTTAGCTACCAGGTCATAAAATCCCTTAAAAAAAAAACTAAATGTCACAGGACACAGAAAAGAAAAACACTGATTTTATCAATAATGTAATAAAATTAAAAAAACTGAGATTACAAATAACGCTGTAAACAATGAGCTCAGGAAACATTTGTAGAATATGTTTAGGACACGATTCACTAACCAGCATTTTTCACAAACGCGGTCTTTCCATGCTTTCTACACAAATTATGTCTCTAGCTAGAGTGCATGTAAGTCAGATTGAAATTCCATAATGCTACTATGAAAATCATTTAAACAGAACTTACTAAATCGTAGATAACGCCCAATGATGGATTACCGAGCACAATTTGCACGAAATGTATTACAAAACTGGACGAATGTATTGAATTCATACGTCTCTGTGAAAGGAGCGATGTCGAACTTAGGTTATCGTTAGAGAATATTGTTAAAAAGAGAAAACTGAAAGCCGAGGAACTTTGCGTGGATGAAGACGGTTCTTCGCCTGCGAGAACCGAAAACGAAAAGAGTCCTGTTGTTGATGAGAACAACTGTGAAACTACAAGTGATCTTCACAAAGATGTGTATGACAAAAATGATAAAAAAAGACGAAAACAACAATGTTTTACATGTGGCAAAGTTATGTCTTCAAGGTAATTGATGTGTATATTGATAGGCTTAACACATATTCTGTTGCTACAGTTGGTTCATTTCTTAAATTTTGCAATGAAATCAGGAATGTCACAATGAAAGCCATTGACGCTACTGGGATTGCTCTTCCATTAGTAGACTGAACACAATAATACTGGGTGTAGAGAAGCGATTCATCAGAAAAAGAAAGGTTCCATTTCTGTATTGACTTGTGTCTTAGCATTTTATAGCTTCTTGAAAATATTTCATTTATAGTTATTTCATTTTTGTGTCTAAATACATTGGGCTCATTAAAACTTTGTAAATTTTTTCATGTCTCTGACTGTTGAGGTAAATGAGGTTTACAAAAAACAAAGCTTAGCTTTTAAGTAATGTTGTATAAATATCAGACAGTGATATCACACACTTCTCAGATGATCTCAGAAATACTCAATAAATAGTGTCTTTATACTGATAATATAATAGTTTTGAAAGTATAGTTCAGTTATTAATTAGGGATCAAGAAAAAATATTTTAAGTGTATATGATATTTTTTCATCACTTGTCAATAGTTACTCAGTAACAAAAAACTGGAAATATGTCTGGTACCACATAAAGGTGTCTATCTTGCATATTACTGCTGCAAAGCATTCATCCATTTCATAGTTATTTTAAAAAAATCGCAATAATATCGATTTGAGTTCCGAGACAGCTTAGCATCATAACTGAAAGTATTACAACATCCCCATAGCTAAAAAGACAGGGAAGTAATTGCATTAAGCTGACAAAAAAACATTCCATAGAAGTTGAACAAAACATACTAAACGTTTTTAAGTACATTCAATTATATTTTCTTTACAGATTCCGATTAAAAACCCATTTAATTACACATACAGGAGAGAAGCCATTCTCATGTCCACACTGCAGCAAATGTTTTTCACTGTCACAAAACTTGAAAGTACACATGAGAACACACACGGTACGTAATAAATCACTTTACTTAAGAGGGCTTGCCTTCTACTTAACTGAACAAAATATTATTATGCCTTTTTAACTGAAAACTGTTTTTTTTTTTGCAAATTTTGTCATTTTCATTATAAGATCATGTTGAAACATTATTCAGTTCGTGGCACTACAGGGAAAATTTTTGCTATAACACAATCTGTTACCAGCCTCATGAAAATGGACACTGATATATTTAAATAAATAAAAAAATGAAATGTAGTACATATTACGTAACGTTAGCTTTCCTAAGCGCAGGGTCCTCGTAAGATGCTCAGTCCCCAGCTGAGAAAACTCATATTGAAATTATATTAATATAAATATATTTAGGATTCAGAAGAACAACCATTTAAAAAAAATAACAATTTAAACATTACAACTTTTGTTATTCTCAAACTCTAATTAATTGACTCTAATTCAACACAAATATTGACATAAATCACCAAACAATCAGACTATAGAATAAACACTTTGGTATTATCTTGACTTTAACCATACATTTACAGAGACATAAAGCAATTACTCACGCAAACCATGTCCACGACTACCTTCTCTCACGAACGCCGCCGATCGAATGAATGTTTCCAACAAAGGCGTTGCTATTTTTATGCACTGTACCCTCAACATTATTATAAAATTCGTGTTTCCTAAATATATAGATATACACATATACAAATATAAATATTTGTTGATTTTTTTTTCAGGGTGAGAAGCCCCTTCAATGTAGTGTTTGTGGAGAATCGTTTGCACAGTCTGCTGGCTTGGCGGCGCACCGTCGAAAGCACACGGGACAGATGCCTTATAGCTGTGTATTGTGTCCACGCCGTTTTCGTACCGTAGGACATTTGCAATACCATGTTAGGTGATTTCAGTTTTATGTATCATTATTACTATTGTCAAAGCAGTAATTTTATGTTCAGCAAGTACTCAACTATTCAGTAGCATTGTTCTAGTTTTTTGCCAATCATAGATATGTTTAAAATCCATATCGAGGTGTGAAAGGCTATTTGGTTTAAGCGACATTATTGCAACTTTACAGGAAAGCCATTTAAAGTTTAAAATTTCGAAAAAATCTCTTAATAAAAAACTTCTACAGCTATTGGAATGGAGTAAACTTAATTGAAGTTCAGTTAAGAACTGTTGATGCTAATACAAAATAAAACGCCCCTTTAATTACAAAGATATATGTCGCTTAAAGAGAAATGACGCTTAAATCAAATAGCATTTCAGCCCTGGATATGTAAATGTAAAATTTCATTGATGCATGGCTACCTTGCTAAACAGTTATATGTATTCAATACTATATATTATATGCTTCAAAGAAATCATAAATTTTTCTCCTACCTACGCCGAAAGTTCGGTTTTCGTCCCGCTGTACAGGGAAGAAAGTGTAACTTTTTCTCCCTGGGTACTGACAAGTGCGCATGCGCGTTAGTGTCTAATTTGCAATATTGTGTTTAGTGTAAAAGTGAAATAAACAAAAGGCAATAAAATTTAATAGATTCACTATTAAATTTTATTGCCTTTTGTTATTAAACAAAGATGAGTTCATCAGACAGTTCTTATTCAATTAGTAGTAGTTTATTTAAAAATTAAAAAACAGTTAAATTTTACATGCGGGAGGAAATGTCCAACTTTTCTCCCTTAGTGCACAATGTACTATTCTTTCACACTCATCCATTTACTGTATGTATACATTGCTATGGATGAATTATTTAGCATAACATAATAAATTGTTTGGATATTACCCGCATTTTATGTATTTCTAGAAAATGATTAAAGTTTAAAGGAACTACGTGAATAACTTAGGTTCTGTTTCAGGCGACACACCGGTGAAAAGAACTATGAATGCGACACATGTAACAGAGCCTTCATAACAAGAAGCGATTTAAAGCAACACATGCTCACGCACACTGGCGATCGTCCTCACGTATGCAGCATATGCGGAATACGTCTTACAAGGTCTTCACACCTCAAAAGACATATACAACAAATACACAATTCCCAAAAGGCTAATGTTAAGGTGGAGTGCTTTAAAACAAATGAAAAAGTTTGAATGGATTTCACAAATTCCATTTATTGTTTTCTTTGAATATACAGTAAAATGTTAATAAAGAGTAGCTTGTGTTTGATTTAAATTGTTGCTAAGGGAATCCGCATTCTCCTAGACTGCGTTAAATATTGCGGCACTGCGGTTAGCTACGTCACATCTTCAAAAGTACAAGATAATATAGCTAGGTAGGTATTTGTTCCACTGAAGTATGAAACCTATATTATCTGTTCACGTACCTACTAGATATGTGTTGTTCGTTCAATTTTAGAGATTCAGATCAGTACTGACCTGTTGACAAAATGATCCGGTTCATACGACCCGTTCAGTCGAACGTTTGGGTTACCGTTTATCACATCAATTTATGACGTAAATAATATGATCAGGATAAAGCTGGATAAAGTTCAGTATTTAATAACAGTTTAAAGGAACTGTTATAGTTTGATTGTTTACGTTAGATCAAAACAATCCAAATGCGTTATGCGACATTATGTGACAACGAACGACTAAGCGAGACGCGGCAACCCGAAATGACCCGAATGACTGTCATATGGTTCTTTTCTTCTGATTCGTAGGTTTTGTGTTAAACAAGTCGATTTAGTGAACGACTCATAATTTTTGAAGTGACCCTATCGTTCGCGCGGAATTTGAGATCCGGGTCGTTTGATTCGTTCGTTCGCGAACGACACATATCTAGTACCTACGTCACAACCGGTGTCATTATGGATATAATCTATGACCGGTGTCAATGCTGCGTATTTAAGGACTTTTTGGCGGGAACGCGAGGAGTGAAGTTGTGTTATTTGTTTTATTTTGTTTATTTAGTGTTTCTTCGGGTTTAAATGTGTAATAATGGTGGTTTTTTAATTGTTTAATATCTGTGAAAGTGCACAAATGTGGGAAAATGAAACAAAGCCGCTGGACGTAACTTCTCGGGATCCTCCAAAAAGTCCATTGAAAATTGAAATAATCTTAGTAAATGACCACCATTTTACTGAGATTATATTTCATCCCATTTCATTTCATTTAATTTCATCTCAGTTGATTAATGTCTCAAATTAATCATCTTCATTTCATTTCACTCCATAATATCATTTTTCATAAAAATATGAATATAAATTATAATAAGACACGACTTAAAGGTCTCAGTTACCAGGTCATAAAATCCCTTAAAAAAAAGCGTATTTAAGGAGGGATGATTACATTTTTAATGGCTGCTGATATATTAAATATACTCATAAATATAATTTAATTAAGTTTGAATATATTTTTGTTAGTAAACCCATTTTAGATTTGATTTAGAAATTAATTTTACTTAAAAGAATATGTAACTCATAATAAACGCATTAATTCCTTTCTAAATAATGCTTATAATAAACATAGCAATAATATACAATTTCGTAATTAATATACACAGTAAGCACTGAACGTCAATAAATATTTTGTACATAAAGAAATATAGACTGTAAGTAGGTAGGTAGTTAGTACAACATTTATTTGATAACATTCAAATGTCGACGAATAACACCATAAATCAACCGTAACTAAAATAACTACAGTACATAACATAGGTATATAGTTATTACATACAATATTTATGACTATACTACTCGAAACCTAATAAATTGAATAAAAAATGTTTTTTCTTATATCGCACTTATAGCTAAAAAACTTTAGTCGAGTATTTTACAATTATGGCAGATTTATCGGTTTTTCTTGGATTTATTAGCATGTTGGTACCCATGATTTTTCGAATCTTAAATTCGTTGATCAACGTTCTTTGTCAAGTTTATTCAGAATAGCTCTAAAGTTTTTGTCTTGCTGTTTTGTTAAATGCGTTTTATGTATTGTTGAAAGGTTATGATTTAAATCGAATTGCTAGTAATCTACGTGGGAGGATCAAACTAAGGAAACCGCAGCTTGGAAATATTTTTAAGTCGAAATCTGTTGCGTGACGTCATGTCGAGAGACATTTATTATTCCCAAAAATATTATGACGAAGAACATGAATACAGGTAAATTATAAGCTTATCAATTAGCGTCATTGTATGAATTGTATGCAAATTTTATTGTTACATCTGTGCATGTGTTTTAAAGTATGCGAAGAAATATTTGGGTAAGTGTATGTAATGGTTAAATAAAAATTAAACTTTGTCCTTAATACAAATCAAAAGGAACCGGTTACTTCCTCCGAACCACGTACGAATCATGTTTACTGTACAGATCCTAATACCTAATCCCTAGAAGATATTTTTCTATAAAATTGTGCCATGATACTTCTAGAAAAATGATTGATACATTTATATGGATATAAGTGAAATTGTTAAAGGTATATAAATTTAAATTAAATTACGCTAGCACGGAAAGCTTACACGCTTAAATCTCGGCTTCAAATGAACAAAATTCGGTTAAAAAATAATCTGAATTTAGAAAAAGAAATAATAGTTGTATACAATTTTATATAGAAAAAAAGTGTAAAAACTATGTTTCATTCCACTGCCTTGTCATCTTATTAGTCTAATTAATGCTCCGCATTAAACCTCACACACAGCAGTTTCTTGCGTTCTTACTGGATCGTAATACTGATCCAATGGTAGATTCAGCGAAGCACTACTGTTAATTGACTTTAACAAACCGTCTCAGATTAAGCCTTGTGAGTTCATTCATGAACCAAGGAGAACCTAGAATACACTCGAACCTATTGGTAGATAGATAGAAAAAAACTGCCAATGCAACTGCAGGTAATAATAGTGGGGCTCTATATGTGCTTTTCTCCAATAATTTAATAGTTCAATTTTATTTCATTACAGACATGTAGTACTACCAAAAGAGATGGTAAAGTTAGTGCCAAAAAATCATCTAATGTCAGAACAAGAGTGGCGCAGCATCGGTGTGCAGCAAAGTCAAGGTTGGGTGCACTATATGACACATCAGCCAGGTTTGAAATTTTTAATTTGTTGTCATCATTAAAATGCTACTGCTTCCCTGTTAATTGCAGATTAAATAATAAAAATATTTAAAATTGATTTTTGTAGTAATGAACTTCAATGTTTACTGTAAAAACTATTATGACATGTAATAATTCTTTTAACACCCATCGTTGTTCATAATAATATTACATATATACTTGAAATTGAGTTTATCATGCACAATCGGTTTATTAAGATACGTATCTCGTTCTATAAAAAGCATTTGTTTGAAGTTCCACGTGACTTCAATCTAAAACTAAATTATCTAATCTAAACTCTCAAAACTCCAATTCTTAAAGATAAAAAAAAAAAGCCTAGACTCCTAGACCTCTATATTTCATTTCACACAGAACTTCCGGAGCAAAATGATGACAATGTAACACAGGACATTAAACTGTGAAAGTAGTTTTAAATATATCAATTTATTATTGTTTTGCAACAGTTTAATCTTATATCTTTTTTATTTGCACTAGATCTGTTTATTGATCAGTTCACAGGCCTGACATGGTCTTAAGTTGATTAGCAGAGGCCAAGCCACCATCCTCATTGAAACATGAAATTGAAATCTTAATAAAATTGCTTTGTATGGTTCTACTTTTTGGGTTGTTGGTAATATTTAGAAATATTGGCTGTATATTACCTGTAGGAAAAGAGGTTGATTAAATTCATTGTTCCAATCCAAGAACATATTGACGCTTGAAAGGCAAATGTGACTAAGCGACAATGCGTGAACTTTATAGTAGACTAATTTAAAGTTGAAATACCTGAAAACAAAATTTATTTTAAGGAATCCAGCTGTAGTAGAATCTAGCTAGTAGGTGTAGGATTGAAATGATTTTAATAGACCTAGAAATATATATTTTTTGCGCATCGAATATGGTTATTGCCTATCGTTTATGTACAAATCAGTTATTATCGCTTAGTCACTTTTGCCTTTCAAGCGTCGATATACATTATGCTTTAAATATGCTCTGTTACTTGGTCAATACATTTTAAACCTTATAGTTTGCCTTAAAAAATTTAAAAATGTGCAGACTCAAATCTGTTGTTATGTTTCAGAACCACATATTTTATTATTCCGAAGGAGGATAACAACACCACCAGAAAAAAATTGATATGGAATGCATTTTCTGTCCCATCGTTTAGCTGTAAAATGTATAATTTTCTCATAAGTTAGTTTTAAATTGGGCCCATAATTATCTGTATTTCATTATTGTATAACTGCTCTGAACAGTATCTACAGTATAAATTAGCGTTTATTTTTTTAAAAATCAATAGTGTACGGTTTATCTAAACGAAATAATCTCAGAAAACTGGTTATACTTAAGAGACTTTCATATTCATATGGCAAACAGGTTTAGAACCTTCCAAGGTACAGTCCTAATATGGGAAGCATGTTTGCCCTTTTTATTGTCTGTGATTATAATAAAATTAATTAATTAATCTTTTAAATCAGTGTCCCATGCCCCACTGTAATATTTCTAAAATTTTTATGCCTCCCATACTTAATTTTTAACATAAAAAAAAAATATTTTTTCACTTGAGGTATAAATTATAGATTTCAGGAAGAAATTGTTATCAGAATTGTGCGTAATATTTCAGAACATAAAAAACTGAAGTACAAATTCAACATAGTTTTAAAACAGATTTTCTATATTAATTTAGTGTGATTGTCTAAATTAATTATCAAATTACCCCATGTGGGGCGTGGGCCCCACGTTGTGAAACACCATTTTAAATAGTGGATTTGTTCTTTTTTGCATATCTGTCGTGCTATAATATATTTTGTCGAGTTTGTAATAAAATTTATGACTACTTCTGAGTTGTCAAGTAAATCTTAAAGTCACATTTAATTTCAGAATGGTTATAAAATTTATAATAAACTTTGATCGTAACTAAAATCGTATGACACTGACAATGTTAATCATTTACTCTTCTATCAATCATTCATGACATAAATCTCGGTATATAATTTGAGGACTTTGTTCTTAAAAGTGTTAGTAGGTATGTAAACAATTCCCCGTGAGGTTTTGTGGTGGAGCATGAAAGTGAAAGGAGTGCCAGGGAAATACCAACGGCTTGTTCGAGCTATGTACGGTAGAGCTAGTACGTACGTACGCTCCGCAGCTGGCGATAGCGACGAGTTCAGTGTGGCGGTAGGCTTACACCAGGGATCAGCTTTAAGCCCTTACCTGTTCATCCTAATAATGGATGCCCTAACATCGGACATACAGGAAGAGGCGCCTTGGTGTATGCTGTTCGCCGACGACATTGTTCTCGTTGGAGAGGAAGGGCCTGAGATACAGAGGAGATTGGCAAAATGGAAAGAAAGGTTGGAAAACGTGGGTTTGAAGATCAGTCGAACAAAAACCAAGCACATGTTTTGTGATTTTGGTGGTTCTTCAGACTTCACGCCAATCGCCTTAGATGGTGTATCCCTGCCAGTCTGCTCCGACTTCAAGTACCTCGGCTCTATACTCCAGAACGACGGCAACATAGACCGGGACGTCACAAATAGAATAAACGCTGGTTGGATGAAATGGCGACAGGTCTCTGCAACAGCATGCGATCGTAGAATGCCCCTTCAGCTCAAGGGCAAAATTTACAAAACGATCATTAGACCTGTCGTGCTGTATGGATCTGAGTGTTGGGCGACGAAAGTTAAGCATGAAAGAGGAGTGCATGCGGCAGAGATGCGAATGTTGAGATGGATGTGTGGAGTGACAAGAATGGATAAGATAAAGAATGAGTATATCAGAGGAAGTGTGAAAGTGGCCCCGGTAAACAACAAATTAAGGAGCGGACGGTTAGCGTGGTATGGACATGTGATGCGTAGAGAGAAGATGCATGTGACTAGGAGATGTATGGAAATGGTAGTGCAAGGTAGAGGGGGAAGAGGTCGACCGAAGAAGACATGGATGGAGTGTGTGAATGACGATATGAGAGAGAGAGGAGTGAGTGTTGAGATGACGGCTGATAGAAGAGAATGGAAGAGAAAAATTAGCTGTGCCGACCCCACATAGTGGGATAAGGTGGAGAAAAAGAGAGGTATGTAAACAATTATGAATAAAATTATCTATCAATAAATCAAGAAAGTACATCTTCTGAATGTCATAGAGTGTAAAATGAATTGTAAATTCATTGAATATATTGTAATAAATGAATTAAATCACTTATAATCTTATCTTATCCATCTGCATGTTTCAGTTTTCAAATTATAATACCGGAACTTATATTTGGATTTAGAATTGTAATTTGTTTATATTGTATTTTATTCCACAGCCCACTGAGTTTCTCTCTGTATCTTCTCATTGGGTCGCGATTCCGATCCAGTTGTAGATTCTGTGAAGCGTTGTTCTTGTTAGGGCTAGTGTTCACACCTTCTCACAGGCTGAGCTGTGAAAAAAAATCCAATGAGCAACTTAAATAACAATATAAAAAAAAGCAACTCTAAATAAAATCTAGATTGTTAGTCTCTTGCTAGCAAAAAAATTCTTGTTTTACTGAATAAAAATCTTTACTACCATTAAAGTCTAATCTAGTTTTAAAGTAATGATTTCGCATTTGAAGTGTCATACTTATATTAAAATCATTAATTATGGGCGTTTATGATCTTTATACTGTTAAGTTTTTAATTCCATACATAATTGATGTCAAAACAAAATCGTCTTAACTTTTACTGTTTTTTATTTTAATACATTCTATTGTCTTCGATTTTCGCGAGTCGTAGAAGTGATTAAAGCTTATTTTACGATTGAATTTCGTGATTATAATAAGAAATTTGACGGTGGTTAACACAATATCTAAATGTCGACTAATATACGCCTTTGTCGTTAGTAACAGCAAAAACTGTATTCTTAACATTTGAACATAAAAGAAATGAGAATGTGAAACATGTGATTATGGCTTAGTACAGTAATTTTAATTATGATTTTAATATTTTGTAACTATAACAAACACCACCACCCTAGTTTTTAAAATATTTCTTCATGTGTTATAATGCAAGTGCTACACCAGTTATTATAACTCATCTTCAAGGTATCATGGGTGATTGGAAACACATTATGTTGCTCGAGAATCTAATTTCTGTATATTTTGCGTAGGTAAGTTAAGTTCCAAAGGCACATTTTAACACCTCAGTAACCGAAACCACCAGTAACAATCCACCGTTTATAATTAAGTTATAGTTATTAGTATCCTATCCTGCTGCATTCACAATGTTGTTTGGCTTAATTCGATTTGGATTTGACTTAGTTATTATTATTGGACAATCAAGGTCGCATGTTGTAAATAATTGTAATTTTTAAATCGGCACATTTGCAGCAGCTGTCATATTATGTTTTATTGGTTTGAATAAATTGTTTTGGTGCTATGTTAAAATTAGTTTTATTTGTGACTCTATTTTTTTCATAGCTAAAAATGGTGGACGAGCCCGCGGTCCGCCTAGTGTTGAGTGGGGAACGGAGCCCAGACAAGTAAATGGCGCCAGCAACTTTGAGACATCGCACCAAGCAGTAGTACCACTAGGAGGCCCCGGCCGGGGGCTTCGCCACATGGCTATAGATGTGTGACATCAGTGTGCTCAGTGCGTTTTTTAACGTTCTCTATAGCGTAAAAGTTAAATTTGTATGCAGTTGAAACAGCGCTCCTAGCGGCAAACGGTCGTATTAACTTTTACACTACATATCGTTAAAAAACACTAAGCACACTTTTATGTTATTGTGGACTTGAGACCTTAGAACTTATATCTCAAGGTGGGTGGCGCATTTACGTTGTAGATGTTTATGGGCTCCAGTTACCACTTAACACCAGGTGGGCTGTGAGCTCGTCCACCCATCTAAGCAATAAAAAAAAGTGTAACTCTCCATGTTTACAGTACATCGGTTGCCTCACCCTTCAAACTGAGACGCATTAGTGCTTCATGGCAGAAATAGACAGGTCGATAACCCATTTCAATTTTCTTAATGATACTTTGGGATTGCAGAGTGTGCATGTACTTAAAATGTAATTAACAATGTTTTATCATTTAATATCCAAATATTTTTTTTCAATAATTATAAAATACTGATACTGATACATTTGTTCTTACTATATAGATTCAAGATGGGTAAGACGCATTTTGTATTAAAAGAGTATCTATCTATCTATCTATCTCTTAGGTTTATGGCGTTTCCTTTTAGATTTCGCCAATGTCAAGTGTATATAATACTCTGCTTTCTATAGCGGGCTTCGTGAACGAGCAAGGTCACAGATATTCACTAAGAATTAAGTGAGTAGCTAAGAATGTTTGATGACAGGATCTCTGTTGATTTACCTAAAACAAATAAGACGCNTGGAAGAAACTAATTCTTCTAAGGTCCACTCTACGGGAACGCCTCTTACAATACCCATGCGAGTCACATTATAAGAAGGTATAACGGCATTGTATTTGGCTGCGGCAAGACCTGGGTGATCTAGGAAGGAATTTGCGGCAACAGCAGTTTTAAATTGAACTGAGACTCGGTTTCGGCCGATACGTTTAACACCGTCTTTAGCAACGTCCTTGATATTGTTGTGATGTAAAAAGTGACCGAACTTAATTGGGCGAAGCGAAGAACTAGACGAAATCTCACAATCTTTGTTTACGTGGATTAAAAAAGGAGCAACATCCTGATCCAAATACCGTTTTCTGTTGCCCTCAAACTCTGGTAGAGTGTATACAGACTGAACAGATCCGATAACTTGCGCGACTGTATTTTTTTTTTGAGGTAAAGAATAATCAGAATTTGGGGGAGTTTGTCTTTTTCTTGAAGGATGTACTGACTCCGTGTCCATTGGGATTGGAGAGTTAGATGGGTCAAGGATATAACCTCCCCCGGGATCGGGGGGGTCGACGCCGTTCATAATTACACTATTTACACTAAACTACTATATTATAATACTTACAAATAAGACAACACACTTATATAAACACAAAACTAATAATTAGTTAATCAACAAGGAATGGAACCTAATAAAACACCCGAGAATTATATAATAACCAAAACACTTGCTTCGATCACTCAACCACAAAAACCCACTCGAACTAGAGGTAAATGAATTAATAAATTTTCACTAAATCCAATAGTTTGATTAAGAATTTTGACCATTAAAAGAGTAAAGCAACTCCAATATGAAACCAAATGCAATAATTTTGCATATTAGTTTATCATCCTGTTAGCTTTTTACTTTATTATAGCTCACAACAGAATTAATTATATAATGTTCCAACAATTCACATTGTGATCTCTAGTGGATCCATTTATCACCTAGTATTACATTGCTAGTATTGCATTGTAATGAAAATAAGGTCATAATTCTAAAACTATAACTGTATCTAAGGGATGGAATAAAAAACATTTTAGTTTGCACACATTTTAAATATTATTTTCTTTTTTTCTTAGCAGTAGGAGATAGTGATGGTATTTTAGCGGTTTCAGATTGTGAAAATTCCATTGGTTCCATTTTTATGTCATCCGCTACAGCATCCAATAAATCCAGTCCTTGAAGCTGTTCCTGTTCTAAACTGTGAAGCATCTGGAATCCTGGTTCTAGTGACGGAGTGAAGGTACCATCAAGGGCTGCAGGAAAGTGCAGTTCTGGAACCTCTTCGAGTTTTAACTGCGGAGTGATGTCTCTTACACTCATAGCCTCACACTGCTCTCTTAAATCCTGACTTCTCTTTTTCAATCTAGCATGATATCTTACCACACGATTTTCATAAAAATGTTGTAAGTTTCCGACTTTTAAATCTGAAAAAACTTTGGACACAGCATCAGCAAATCCTGATTTCAATCCGCTCGCTTCTTTGTCCACAACCGTTCGGAGTAATTTGCACATATTTGTCATGTAGTGGTCTAACAAATCTGCGACACCATCTAAGGCTGTATTTGTACACGTCGGTATTCCTACTTGTCCTATAGCAATAGCAGCGCACTGTCTCAAAGCCCGTCTGTGACTTTCTGGTGTAAAAGGCAATATAACGTTTCCTTTACCACAGGCAAAATCACAGTAATGTTTCTGTGAGAAGTTTATTGGTGGTATCGTTGGATGTTCCTTTTTCAAAACTGGTTCGGGAGGATACGGTGGCAGGCTTAGGGGATCGAATCGTGCGCTGTCGAAAACTGTATTTTCGTTTTGTTCCAATATGGCAGATAGTTGTCTTGCGTACGAGTGGAGTTGTATAGCATGCGTGATTAAGTTAGGTGTTGGTAATTCGATTGGAGAAGACTTCACTGTAATTGGTATCTCTGGAATGTTTTGCATACCCAGTTCGATTATGGGGTTGAAGTTAACATTTTGTAGTAAGGTTTCGTCGGTTGATTCTTCTTCCATTTCGCCCCAAAGTTTTTTTGATGACATTGTTGAATACTCTGTTCACAAACGGTTATATGACCGGAATTATTAGAAGAAGTAGGCTGTGATTTGGTTACAAATACAGCATTCTAATTTAAACATTTGAAATGTAAATTTTACTAACTCAGTTTGTTATTGTTTGACATTTGGGTCATTTGGCATTTGACCGTTTGTTTAGATATTTTGGACACGCAAAGGGACTAAGGACCGTACACTTAAATATTTTATAACAAATGTCGAAGCCATATCTGTTTATGATAAGTGAAATGGAACGATGATAAGTGAATTTAAATGAAGGTATAGGAATTGCAATAGAAGCTCATTGTGAATTCATTAAATATTTGGTAGAGTCACAAAAGTTAGCTCCAGCGACTTTATCGTATCCTACTAGCATTAGAGTTTCTAAGATAACAAAATAAATGTATGAGACTGACATATAACGCTAAACAACGTGGTCTAGGTTAACACAAAAATTACCTTAGTGTAGACTTCCAGGTGTTTAGGCTCATCGGAGCCCAGAGACACCATTACATGACCTTGAAATATAAGCTCGAAGTGTCAGTTGTAATTGAATGATAGTTCGCATACTTTAGACCAGAAAGCGTGATTGCTTTGCCGCCGAAATAGGCAATTCGGTGGAATTAACGTACCCCAAACTAATAGCCGTACCTGTCCGGTACTACACAAGCAATGTTATATGCAATGTCAACTGTTATGTATACTCAATCAAGTGCAATGTACAAAGTGTTGTGTAACGGAAATGAAATTTACACCACACACCATAAATTGCCTGTTACGCAATGTTTTTATTTAATCAATAAAAACATTCACATTATTATTTAAATGTTGACTATGTATTATTGATTTACAATATTTCAAATCTGATTGTAGTTTTTTGAACAATCCTACTAATCCTACTACTATTGTAAACGCGAAAGTTTGTAAGTATCTTGGATGTATGTTTTGTTTTTCAGGCAAAAACTACAGAATGGATTTTGATTAAACTTTACAGTAATATAGCTTATACATTACAATACCACAAAGGCTATAATTTGTACAGATATAGCTTGAATTACCAAAAATATAACGATAAATGTCAAGTAAGAAGGAAAAAAA